AAACTCTGAGTTCCATAATGGCTGTTATGAGTTTGTACCTCTATTAGACACGAATAAGGGTTCCTCTTCCATTGCATCCTCCACAACGTTTGTTCTAAGATTTCTTGTGATTGCCATTCTGACTGGAGTGAGGTGGTATTTCAAAGTAGTTTTAGTTTGCATTTCCCTGATGAATAGGGATTTTGAACATTTTAAATATTTATTGGCTTTGTTTTTCAAGACAGAGTTTCACTGGCTGTCCTGGAACTCACTCTGTAGACCATGCTGGCCTTATACTCACAGAGATCTGCCTGTCTCTCCCTCCTGAATGCTGGGATTATCTCTGTGAATTTGAAGTCAGCCTAGTCTACAGAATGAGTTCCAAGACTAGGGCTGTTACACAGAAAAAGCCTGTCTCTAAAACACCAAACCCAAAAAGGGAGAGGTTAGACCTCTTATAAAACTGTTTATCGAGTTTATTAGACCATTTGTTGAAAGGAAGTTTTATTTCCTTGATCCTTTGTAAATTCTGTATATTAGCCCCTCGTCTGAAGTATAACTGGTAAAGATTTTCTCCCTTCTGTAGGCGGTTGGTTTTAGTGATAGTTTCCCCTGCCATGTCAAAACATTTTATTTTCATGTAGTACTGTCTGCTGACACCTGGGTCTCGTTCATATGTTATTAAAGCTCTGTTCAGAAAGCTCTTGCCCACCTCGGCATTGTAAAGAGTATTCCCTAAGTTTTCACCCAATACTTCCAACATTTCAGGTTTAAATTGATGTCTTTCATACACCTTGAATTATTTTCTGTACAAGGTCAGAGATGAGAGTCTAATTTCATTCTCCTTCGAGTGGAACAGGCTCTCATTTTCCCACTGAATGTCTCTGATTAAGAAACAAAACTTGGCCAGGCGTTGGTGGCGCACGCCTTTAATCCCAGCACTCCGGAGGCAGAGGCAGGAGGATATCTGTGAGTTCGAGACCAGCCTGGTCTACAAGAGCTAGTTCCAGGACAGCCTCCAAAGCCACAGAGAAACCCTGTCTCAAAAAACCAAAAAAAAAAAAAAGAAACAAAACTTGACCCAGATGGTGGTGGCACACACCTTTAATCCCAGAACTCAGGAGGCAGAGGCAGGCAGATCTCTGTAAATTTGAGGTCAGCCTGGTCTACAAAGCTACACAGAAAAACTGTCTTGAAAAACCAAACAAAAACTCCAAACCAAACCAAAAAACCCCTTAAAACAAAACAAAACAAAAAAAAACCCAAACTCAGGTCAGGCATGATGACCAACAATTTTAATCCTGGCACTTGGGAGGCAAGGACATACAAAAACTGCTACTATTGTAGTCCAAGGATGCAAGAGTCCATCCCAAACTGGCAGCCACATCTGGAGGTGTTGTGCATGTGGTGGTTTTTGGAGTCAAAAAAAAGATGCAAGAACGAGGGGATCAGATTGCTTCTCCATGGTTTCAGAAAGCCACTGAGACCAGGCATTGTGCAGCAGGGGCAGTGTCTGCAGGGGCATTGCAAGGAGTTGAAGAGGAGGAGTCTGGGGTGTGTTGGAGACCCTAACATGTTAAGAGATTCCAGAGCCATGAGATACCTGCCAATAAGAGCTGCATACATACATGGAATGGAACCAATCCATGTGAGAAATGTCTATTACAGAAAGCAAAGTTGGAGGGGCCAAGCCATCTAAGTCCTTAGAAATCCAAGCTTCAGATAACAGACATGGAGTCATAAGGATCTGACGTTTACCCTACTGGGGTTCAGTCTTGTTTTGGACCAACCTTTCCATGTTAATGCCACTATTCTTTCCATTTTGTAATAGAAATGTATATTCTGTGCCGCTATGTTTTTCTTTTTTTCTTTTTGGTTTTTTGAGACAGGGTTTCTCTGTATTGCTTTGGAGGCTGTCCTGGAACTCAGTCTGTAGACCAGGCTGGCCTGAATTTACAGAGATCCGTCTGCCTCTGCCTCCCGAGTGCTGAGATTAAAGGCATGCACCACCAATGTCCGGCACCGCTATGTTTTTCAAGTATGTAATTTGCTGTTTTATTTTTACAGGGGTTCACTATTAAGAGATTGCTTTGAGTTCCAGAGAGACTAGAATTTTGAAGCATTGAGACTTTTAAAGACTATGGGATATTTTGAAGTTGGTCTAACTGCACCTTGCGTTGCCCATGAGCCTTGAGGGCCAGGGCCTGAGTGTTGGAGTTTGGATGAGAAATATTCCCCACAGACCTATGTATTTAAACACCTGGTCCCACTAGGTGGTGCAGTGAGGGTATGTGCACACGTGTGTAACCTTTAGGAAGTGAAGTCTTGCTAGAGAGTTGGTTGGCGTTTGAAAGTTTACAGTCTTGCCCATTTCCTTCCTGATCTCTTCCGTCTCTCTTCCTGTCTGTGGAAGAAAAATGCAATCACCCAGCCTTCTGCTCCTGCCATTAAGGACTCTAACCCTCTGGAGCAAAATAAACATTTTATTGAAGTTACAGTTGTTAGTGTTTTATCAAAGCAACAGAAAAATATCAGGCAGTAAGTGCAGAGGTCTCCCTAAAAGGTTACCGGAAGGCAAAGTTTTGCCTTTACTGAACAGGCACTCAAAACTAGGTCAGCCAGGACTGACCTTCTATTCTTCATACATATTCTGGATAAATAGTATGCTTGTTATAACATCTATATTTGTTACCGGGGTGAGGCAAGCCGGGGGCAGTAGGGGTTCTGAAGTTAGGTGTACCCTTAGGAGAGAGGTACACGAAGCACATGCAGATGAAGAGACCAGGCTGCAAAGGGCACTACTTGCTTTTTTGAGACAGGATCTCTCTACATAGCTCTGGACAAGTACATTATTAGAAGAGTGTGTATGTATAACCCCAAAACTAAACGGGGGTAACCAAGCTATCTTTTATGCATTTCTGCCTCATTCCTATGGATGGAGTCATAGCCTAAGAAGTTAGCATAGGCAGAGGACCATGGTTTGCTTAGAGTCTAATAGACAAGAGTCACAAGCCAGGTAATTATGAATTATGTACAGAAGTTGACACCTATTGGAGCTTCAGAAGGGGGACATCCATCACGTGCCTTTATCACAGGGTCTGGACCAGGTGATTTGTGTTCTAGGTCCAAAGACCGGAAATCTTAAATACTTGTATTTATTTTGCGTGTGGGTGTTTTGCCTGCATGTTATGTCTGTATCACATGCATCCTGATGCCAGCAGAGGTCACAAGTGGGCATTTGATCCTCTGGGACTGGAGTTACAGATGGCTCTGAGCTGCCATATGGGTGCTGGGAGTCAAACCCTGGTCTTTTAGAAGAGTATCCAGTACTCTAATGGCTGACGTATCTCCCCAGGCCCTCAATGGGGGAATTTTGTCCGCACATGAGATGTCATTTAGGACTTTGGATATGCCATTCAAATGAGATTTTGGTCTGAGTTGATGCTGCACTGGGTTAAGACTTTGGGAAGTGGGCATATTGGAAAAGAGTCTTGCTGGTTTGGATGTTAGACTGGGTGATGGCGGCCCCAGGATATATCTTCATCCTAATTTCTAGAACCTATGAATGTCACATCATACAGCAAAATACTGCATTAGTATCTGGAGAGGAGGGACTCACCAGATTTTCCAGATCGGTTCTAAATCAAATAACAATTTTTCTTATAAAATGTGCAAGGGTAAAATTGACAGAAGAGACTGCAGGGAGGACTATTATGGGTTGAATGTGAAATGATCTTCCACAGCTCGTATTTGAATATGGGATCTACTTGGTGGTGCTGTTAGGGGAGGTAGTGGAAATGTTGGGACAGGGTGCCTAGGTTAGGGTCACAGAAAAGAGCTTTGAGGGTCAGAGGTCACCTTCACTTCCCACCCTCACCTCTCTGTCTCAGCCAGAGGCCAGCCCTCTGCCATGACCGAACATTCCTTTAGCTACAAGAAGTGATCCAGTGACCCTAAGAGGTGCTATCTCAAGCTGAAGACTATCCTGGAGCCACTGAAATGGGATGAGGCCAGCAAAGACTCCCCCTCCTCAAACCTTTAGGGGAAGTACAGTATTGCTGACATCTAGATTTCAATTTCTTGCCTTATATGTTAAGAATAAATTTGTTTTTAGCCATGTCATTCGTTTTAGAGAGAACAAATTTTTAGGCCATTTTATTTTTTATGGGAATCCACTAATTGATTTAGAAGAGGCCCCCAGGGAATTCACCATCAATTGTCAGTCCTCAGATCCCTGCATAGTCTGCTTTCTCTGATTTATATACAATGTTCCAGGATTTTACCCGTACTTGAAGGAAAATAAAATTTTATTATGCTGGCTAGTTTTATGTCAACTTAACCCAAGCTAGAGTAATCGGACCATAGAAACCTCAACTAAGAAGATGCCTCCATAAGAGCAGGATGTAGGACCTTTTCTTAGTGACTGATGTGAGAGGAACCAGCCCATTGTGGGTGGTGGCACTCTTGTGCAGATGGTCCTGGGTTCTATAACATAGCAGGCTGTGTAAGCCACGAGGAGCAACCCAGTAAGCAGCACCCCTCCATGGTCTCTTCATCAGCTCCAGCCTTCAAGTTCCTGTCCTGACTTCCTTTGATAAATGAACTGTGATGTTAACTCTTTCCTCCCCAACTTGCTTTTTGGTCATGGTGTTTCATCATAGCAATAGAAACACAGACTAAGACATTCATCTTTTGGGGAAACACAAATAACCCTTGAATTTCACTTTGTCATAAATTATGATAGTCTAGTGACAAACTTTCCAAATTAGTTTGCTTTGGGTTAATGTCGTTTTCTTGCATAAAGTTTTCCTGAGACTCCCAAGTGCTTATTAAACCACAGCTCGTAGACCAACATTCATTCTCTTCCCAATCTGGTCTCATCCTTTCTGGTCTTATGCACACTATGCCCTTTCCAGGACTCCTAAGATCATGCTTTCCTGGCTCCAGTACTTCTGAATGTTAGTAAACACTGAGCACACATGAGGGGCGGGGCTCGATAGCCAGAATACATTACTCATGGATGAGTTTACATTAAGCTTAAGCCAGCATCTTTATTATGAGTTTAAAAATAGTTTACCAGTGTACAGTTTGACTGTCTAAGAAGCAATAAAGCACGAAGCCCTTTCTGATCACTTGACCATCGATGCTTCATTATTGTCTCTGCGGTGGCCACTTTGATATTTCTCTGTTCCAACTTTTATTCTCTAATCAAATGTACCTGTTTATGATAACCTGAGCCTGTTTTGCTTTTATACACATGCGTGTACACACACACACACACACACACACACACGCAAGTTTTGTTGAAATGGCTCACAAATCTAGACATACTCTACTCAATTTTACAAAAATTCCTGTTGTGTTGAATTTTGAGCTCAAAAGAACTAGTGATGGTATATTGTAGAAATACACACTTGAAACTAGAATATATATATCTGAGTAATGTTACAAAATATAGAAACTCTGTATAAAATAAACCAGTTTAATAATGCTTCTAGCTAATGCAAGAGGCAGCAGCATCCCATCCTACACACACGCACACGCACACTCGTGCACACACACCTGACAGGTACAGAGGCATGGTGAGAATGCTTAGTAGGGTAGCAGATGGCACAAGCCCTTTGTCTTCCTTTCTTCTCCATGACAACCGATTCCAGGTCATCTTTGGGACTGAAGAGAAGGTAGGCTGCATTTCCATTCTGCCTGGCTCTGGAAGTAGCTTAAAGGACCAGAGACAGCAGGGAGCTTGGCATCACTGCAACTGAGTTAAAGGTCGTTTGCCACAACGACCCGCACAGGAAGCAAGAATATTTACCAGCAGTGAAGTGAAAAGAAGGAGAAAGTCAGGACTGTCAGACTTATGATCAGAAGTTCAAGAGAGGCTGGATGCAGATGAAGCCTGAGCTGTAAGGTGAGAAAAAGGATGGGCGGGGGGGCATGTCTCCCTCCCTCCAGCGGTCCAAAGGGGGGACAGCTGGCTGCTGTCTGGAAACACTCAAGGTAGACATTTGCCATATGCTCCATGTGGCAAATTACTCAGCGCTTTCTTCTTAGGGCAGAGGAAGCAGCTAGGAAGCGCTGTTGCTGTGAATGCCCGTAACTGGTACTTGTGCTTCTGTGGTAGAGGATGTCCAGTGTGTAGACGGGGCCAGCGGTAGGTTGCTGAGGCAAACATCACAGCCGCTGGGAGAGTGAGATTTCCAACTGGGTGCTGCAGCCACCAGAGCATCATCACATGCAGAGCCATGGGATGGGGCCAATCCCTGCAAACCTCAGTCACAGGCCTGCTCCAGGCTACCCCTTTCTTCATCCTCCATCTGTAACCAGCTCCAGTCCAGAGTCTGAAAGTTAAGAGGCACGTTAAATACTCAGTGGCCATGGCCATCTTTCCTCTGCAGGAGGCAAGCAACCCAGTCTAGAAGCACGTTTAAACTTCATCAGCATCCGTCCCGGTACTTCAGGGCACCTTTGAGCCAAGTGAGCTACACATGCAAAGGTGCAGCAGGTTACCTTTGGACTAGCTGAAGCTCCTGGAACTCTGTGCCTGTGGGACGTGGAGGTCACTTTAGTACGGCCTGTAGCATAGGGAGCTCACTGACACACTCACTGCAGGGAGCTATCTGTTTCCATGCCAATCCGATGAGCCTTCCCTTTTCTCCGGTTAAAGTGCAAGCAAGTGGTGGGAGGGAAGAAAGTACCAGGAGGCGAAAGGCAGCAGGAGTTAGGGAGGCTCGCCACTGAAAGCCACGTGAGCAGGTTAGAGATGAGGAGAAGATGGCAACTGGCAGCAGCACGGTGTCTTCCCATTCCCCCAAAGTTAGAAGTCAGAACAGGAGACGGTTGCATTAGCAGGAAAGGGCCATTTAGACTCCTACCATCATTTACACTTTGTCTGAAAGTACCTGAATCGGGGCTAGATGTTCTTCAGGTCAGTTTCCCCGGCTCTAATTCTGCCTGTGGCTAAACAGTGAACCCCTGAGCCACAGGGCTGTGACAGGTTCCCCTTGCATTGTGGAGCCCAGCCCAGTGCCTAACACATACAGATGCTCTGCAACAGTCCCAAAGACAGGGAAGGGGCTTCTGGGGACACCACTGCCACCTCATCGGGATTAAGGCTCATAAGGGTTAAGATAGTGGATGCACATGGCATTTCTAAGCCTGAAGTAATTATAAGAGACTTAAAAATGAACAGTCCTGAGTCCAGGTCTCCTCTTTTGCTGTAGAAAGGGAAGCAGCGGACAAGCTGGGGTCCCGAGGGTTGTTACCGTGAAGCTGTGGTCCTGCTCCTTCACGGTGCTTTGCAGCATACTTTCCAGCCGGGTGCAGAGGGCGTGGGCTTCAGCCACCAGTTCTCCACTGAAGACAAGGATCACGTTACCAGAACAAGGTCATCAGGACGGTACCAAGAGCTAATTTCCTGCTTTAAAATACGCTAAACAACTTTCATACTGCTCTAAAACCAACGAAGGAACTGCTCACGTCTTAATGCACCGCGTCATTGACCAGTGATCTCATGTGTCTAAATACTTTACAGACACTTAAATCCCACGAGACATAACAACGACTGAAAATATGCAACAGTAAATAGATCTTCAGGTAAGAAAAAAAGCAAAAGACTAAGAGGATTTATTCTCTGTGCACAGGCATTTGCCTGCATGTGTATTTCTGCACAATGCACATGTAGTGCCCTCTGAACCTCCCCTAGAACTGGGGTACAGAAGGTTGGGAGCTGCCATGTGGGTGCTGGGAACTGAACTCAGGTCCTCTCCAACAACAGCCAATGCTCCTAACTGTTGTGCTGGCTTAGTTCCAAGACTTCTTGATTTACATATAACTGAATTTCTCCCCAAAGTGCCAAAATCTAAACATGTTCCCCATCACTTGTGTTCTGGGCTGGGGGGTTGGAGCAGTGCTGGGAATTGAACATATACTAGCCCCAACTCACAGTTTTTGAAATGGGTAATGAGCTTCCTCAGTGCAAAGTTCTGGAAAGATACTACTATATCTAGACCGAATAACTGATTTTCTGTCATGGATTGTCTTCATGACATGGGGGCAAGCCAAACAACTATGTGTCCTTTTCCAACCATAGCCTTGTAATGAGAGATAAGACGGTCACCCCTGCTCCTGCTCACACTCATGGGCTAACCTTTCTGAGCTCTGGGGATATCACTGGAAGAAAAGTACCAGGAGACAGCGCCCCAGACCTCCCTTCTCCTTCAAATGTGACACTCTGTGGGAAAGAAACCAAAGGGCATCCACAGGGCTGTAGTTAGGCTAAAGGCTCGTGCCAGCTCTGGAGATCGCCGAGGCCCATGACCCAGTGTCTGACCTCCAGAAGCTGACAAGAGATCGGAGAGGTAACTAAGACTTCCAGTGTAACATAATGCCAAAGACTATACACTCCCTAGGATCAAGACAAGGAATTTTAAAAGCATCTTTGCTATGTAATTTATGTTATAGAGTTTGCCTGTTCACACTGTTAACTCCATGGCTTCAGCACCGCACTAAAGCGAGCCATTTGCAAGAGATAATATAGACTGACCCAAGAACAACACTGAGGCGGTCACAGACGCTTCAAATAGTTTAAACATGATCTAGAACGAACGAGAAACCCACTGTTGGTTACTGACCAAACGACTGGGTCAGATGTCACTCCAGGTTAAACACAAGACTTGGCTAGCAGTTAAGAGGCAGGAAGCGAAAGAGAAGCCAAAATCCCTGCCAGGGAGGGGCTACGGTATCTGCCGGGAAAGAGGAAGAGTCTGGGAGATGGCTCAGCAGGTTAAGGCACTCGTGGCCAAGCCTGTGATTTGAGTTCAATCCCAGGGCTCACATGGAGGAAGAAGGGTGCCAACTTGCACAAACTGCCCCCTGACTCAGTGTGCCTTGGCACACCCTCCCACACATGGAAATAAAAAATAAATATTAAAAAAAGGAAAGAAAAAGGAAGGGCTGAATGGAGGGTGAGGGGAGACACGGGGTGGGAACAGCAGCCTGGTCTCTCTAGATGGAGGTGCCTGGGAGAGAGAAGGCCAGGGACTCGGCTGTGACAGAGTTGGCAGACCTGAAGTGGCTTTTAAAGAACTAGCATCGATGGACAGCATGACTAACAATCTCAATTTTCTCATTAAACAATTTGTAATTCAACTCCTGGACAGGGAAACAAGTGATCAAGTGGAGAGGAACAGAATTAAAAACAAACAAACAAACCCATGCCTCGTCCACAGGCATTCACGACAAAGCACACACAAGGTCCTCAGGCGAAGTGGCTGGTGACAAGCACGCTCACCCATCCCCAGTCCCTGTGTCCCCCTGAACATTACACTCGGCACTGTCAAGCATGGCTTACCTTTTCTTGGCTGAGTCAGGTAAGCTGTCACAGGCACTGCACGGCTGGGACATTAGCTGACCAGGGTGACTAAGCCGAGACACGTTCATGCTATCTGGGCTTCCACTGACTGGACCTCTGACTTTGCTCTGAATGACAACACAAAAGACAGTCAACAGAACTATGGAGTCAGTGGACTGGGGAGAGGGCTCAGGGGTTACCCAGGCTCTTGTAGAAAACCTGAGTTTGCTTCCTGGCAGAGCAGGGCAGCACGTATTATCAGCTCAGATTCCCCCCTTTCCCTCCTTTCTTACAGGAGGCCACATCCTCCAGCTCCCACCCCCAGGCAAATCTGCCAGTGACGCTCCTGATTCTGACTCCTTCAGTTCTCAGGAGTGACCACGAACTACGCCCTGCCGCTGTCAATCTCCCGGAACACCAGCTCCTCCTGTGGTCCACAGAGACGCTCCAGACAAGAACCCTTACAAGCAGACTGGAGCGACGGCTCAAGCAGCTGCTCTTCCAATGGCCCCGGGTTCAACTCCCAGCGTCTGCATGGCAGCTCACAACTGTCTAACTCCAGTTCCAGGGCTTCCGACGCCCTCACACAGACACACATCCGATAAAACACAGGAACACGAGATAAACATAAAAAAGGCTCTTTATGATGCACCACTTTGTATTTCTTCCAGAATAAGTCACCTCCTTTTCCTTGCCCTTTTGGGTTGTTTTGCTATCTGAGGCAGGGTCTTACTATGTTGTCCAAACTAGCCCTGAACTTCCTACTCCACACTCAGGTTCTGGGATCACAGGTATGCGCCTCCACGATAGGTTCTCTCTTTGCTCTTGAAGCTACTAATGACTGAACTTTTCTTCGGCCATCTTCTTTCTTGGTATCTTTTCAACAGGTCCCTGTATTCTAAGGCGTGCTGTTACTTGGCTCTCCCCGCTTTTGCCAGATTTTCTTTGTTTTACTTTTTCTCCCTGAGTAGTACACCATAGCTGTGTTATGATAGTATGTACATGTTCGCACGTGTGTGTGTGTGTGTGTGTGTGTGTGTGTGTGGCTCACACGCGCGTGCACATGTATGTATGTATGCATGCATGTGCACGTTGCTAGGAACTGAACCTGGGGCCTTATGCATGAGGCAAACATGGCTCTGCTGAGCTTCACCCCTAAATATTCTTGTAAGAGATCTTCAGATGAGAAACACTGATGTCACCTGAAGACACAGATACAGATGTCAAGGCTTGAGCCACTCAAGCTGGGGGTGGGGGTGTCTCTCTGCCTTTTTTTTTTTTTTTTTGAGACAGGGTTTCTCTGTGTAGCCCTGGCTGTCCTTGAACTTAGAGATCCACGTGTCTCTGCCTCCCGAGTGCTGGGATTAAGGGAGCCAACTGGATTCTTAATTTGTGGCCTCTGAAGCTCTGGAAAGAACAATGTCTGCTGTTTGGAGCCCCTCTACTTGTGGTAATTACAGTGGCCACATGGGTAAGTAACACCTCACATAAACTTTCCCCTCAGGAATCTTTCCGCCCACTCCACGTCACAGGTAACTGCCGGTCCAGCAGAGCTGAGGAGCATGGGTCAGGGAGGGGAGACGGACGGAGGGGACAACACACACGACACCAACACCGGGACCTGAGAGGCTGGGAGCAAAGGTCACTCACACAGGCGATCTTCAGGAGGTTCCAGAGCTCCTTCTGCCGCTTCTCCTGAAGGCGGACCACAGTCTTCTCGTCCTCATTCATAAGGCTCACCACCTCTTCCACCTTGGGCAGCAATTCCAGGGCCTTCTGCTTACAGACCACGGTTTTACTGCAGAGGACAAAGGAGCCACACTCCCGTGAGCTCCGGGCTGGCACTATTGTGGATCCTATCAGCAACCACAGATTGTTGCTTCACTGTGTAGGCAAATCCGAGCAAGAGACCCACCTGGCCCTCACCTTTGCTGTCATCCCAACACTTGTCCTGAAGCAGGAGCAGAGCGCCTACCTGAGCTGTGTATAAATCACTCGCACTTTCTTCTCGAAGCTTTGGATTGCCTGAAGTAGCAGCCGAACCATCTCCTGACTGTCACCGTCCGTCCTCTGGTCTGCAGAGGAGAGTGGCATAGCTCTTCCTCCCCGGCCTCTGGGGAATGGGGTGGGGGTGGGGGGAAGGGAGGGGCAGTGTTGTCTCAAAGACCAGACAAAACATGGCCAGGGCCAAAACCACCTACCTCTCGGCCTCTCCCTTAGTCTTCTATAGAGTTCCCTCGCTTGTTCCTCTCTGGAAGGGAGAAAAGGCTAGACTCAAGGCACACCAGTGGCATTTAAAACACTAGTCTAACTCTTGCCAGTCAAATTGCTACTTTTTGACAACCGGACACAGGTTCTCAATGGGAAAAAAACCACCAGTTTTGGTACTATTTATAAAACCCAAATGCCCCAAACAAGAGCCAACTTAAGGGTTATTCCCTTCTATGCTTGGCTACAAGAGAGATTCAAGGTGCCACCTCCAGATCTGACTAAAGAAAATACTTGCCCTCAATGACATGAGTTCAGCCGGGCGGTGGTGGTATATGCCTTTAATCCCAGCACTCAGGAGGCAGAGGTAGGCGAATCTCTGAGTTTGAGGCCAGCCTTGTCTACAGAGCCAGTTCTAGAACAGCTAGAGCTGTTACACAGAGAAACCCTGTCTCGAAAAATCAAACCGAACCAAACCAAACCAAAAACAACAACCCCGTTAAGTCCAAGGCTAGATATAAACTCCCATCTCTTCCTCTGATACAGGAAACAGCCTCAGAGACCAACTGGCCCTGGTTGCACGCACAGTCCTAGCATTCAGGAAGCTGAAATGGGATTTCAGTGAATTTGAGGCAAGTCTTGGCTATCTAGCAAGTACCAGAACAGCTAATACTGTATAATGATACCCTGTTTTGAAATACACACACACACACACACACACACACACACACACACACACACACACACACACACACACACACGTTCTTATTTGGAAACTTAGAGTAAAGGGTTAAAAAATACAATGGAGAACAAATTATTTTCAGATTTCTCACCCTAAAAATTCTAGTAAGAGCATCAGGGGACACTGACAACTTCAGGTGACAGAGCCCTTGATAAGCTGAGCCCCACCCGCCCACCTGGACCCCTTCTGTCAGCACAGAGGGCTGAGCGCTAAGTTCTCCAGGTAGGATGATGTGTGAGGATGCCTTGACCCCTCTTGGGCAGGACACAATGCCAAACTTCTGGACTCAGCAGGCTCCTCCCTCTGTTCTACTTCCTGCTCTGGGAGCCACACCTAGACAAGGGTGGGTTGGATGAAGCAGGACTGTCTGCTGCTACAGAAAAGGTCTGCGTGTGCGCGCGTGTGTGCATGCGTATGTGCACGCTTGTGTATTTCACAGCCTTTAAAGGTTATTGGTTGCTTCTAAAATGTGTAGTTTGAATGGCTCCTTACACTCTGGGAGGCCACTTTTCCTTGTCATTTGACAGATCTGAATTGCCAAGGCAAAGAGCGAAAGCCATTTGTCTTGGCCAATACCAGGGAATGTGCTAAGGTGATACACCAGGAGACACGCCCCACAGAAGGAACCTCCCCGAGGCAACCCCCACACATCAGAAACTCGACAGGGTGTCACAGTGTGTTCTGGGGCACAGTGCAGTCCCTTCCCCGTGTACTCACAGGTCATCCAGGGTGCCCCCCTGCTTCCGGCCCATCGGGCTCCTCTGTAAGTCCACAATGTCAGTCTGCAGGGCCATCATCTTCTCCACCAGACGCTTCACGTCATCCTCCTGATGGAAAAGCCGTGCTCATGCCAACTGATGTAAAAAGGGCATCCTGAGAGGAGAGACTTGCTGGGGCCGGCTGGGGAGACCCTCCTTCCTATCTCACAGGTGACTTTCAGCTGATTGGCTAGAAGGGCTGTGGGCTCAGGAGTAAGATGGTCTGAAGCTGGATCTCATGCCTACCATTTTCCAGCTGTGAGGCCCTCAGTAGCCACTTAACCGTAAGCCATAAAACAACCTCTGGTAGGGATCAACTGCATGGTTAAAAACCAGAGCAAGTGCAGTATTTGGCAGAGAAGATTGTCTTCTCTTACTGGGTCCACAAAAAACACACTTCAGGGTCAGACAAGGAACTGTAAGTAGGATACACACTTTTAGTTCTTTAAAATTTATTTCTGTCTGTGCATGCTGACGTGTGTGTGCTACCATGCGCGCGCGTGCGTGTAGGTTAGAGGACACTTTTAGGAGTGGGTTCTCTCATTCTATGTTCTTTGTTGGTTCTTACACATTGTGTGTACTCAGGCTAACAGTTGGCCTGTGAGCTTCCAGGCAGTTCTCTGGTCTCTGCCTCTCAGTTTGCTGTAAGAGCATGTAGATTACAGATGTATGCTGTTACCAGCTTTTTAAAAAATTATTATTACCTGTTTTTTAAAAAGGGGGTTCTGAACATCAGACTCAAGTCAGTAGGCTTACTGCAGCAAGCGCCTATACCCACTGAGTCACTCTGCTGGCTCAGTGGGTATACCTTTAAGTATGCATTAACTTATTAGGTCTCACTTATAAAGTTAGACACCAAGTCACAGAGGCAAAGTCCCAATCCAGCTCACAGGGAGTGGAGATAGAAAAAGCTTTGGCGAGCAGGGTCTTGGGTCTCTGTGCAGGAGGATGCACCAAGTTATACTTACTTCTGACCCTGGGAAGAGGGGTTTTCAATGGCATCTAATGCACTCTTCTCCTGAGATCTTTCTGCTTAAACTCTTTCTTCCTTATAGATTTCATGTTGTCAAGAGGGAGTGCTGCTCTCCCATCCAAAGCCCTTTTTTTTTTTTTTTTTTGGTTTTTACGAGACAGGGTTTCTCTGTATTGTTTCGGAGGCTATCGGTCCAGCCTGGCCTCGAACTCACAGAGATCCACCTGCCTCTGCCTCCCTAGTGCTGGGATTAAAGGCGTGCGCCACCACCGCCCGGCCCAAAGCCCATTTTAAAAAAGCAGGTAGCCTCGGGCTTTCCCAAGGACATGCAACATTTTGCCTTTTCTCTAAATCCAGACAAACTGCCCAGTTCTCAGGTCTGGTCACATCTTGTTCCCTCCCAGCAAGTCTGCTTAAGGTCAAAGGATGTGGTGAGGAAACCTTGAGTTCTGACAAAGCAGCTCGAACCAGGGTTGGATAAGAAAGTGGAAAACGGCAGGACAAAGCTCCAGGCACACTGCAGTACGCAACACTGGCATGGGTCTCCTACCCGCCCACACTGCTCCACCGCCTGCTCCATTTCCTTCCACGCCAGCAGCAGCTTTTCCGATGCTGAAAAAAAAAAATGAAAGAAAACAAAATGAAAACCAGAAACATCATAAAACCCAAACAGAAGTTAAAAACTGTATTATAAATGGCAAAGAAACTTCAGGAAGACGGAAGGAGAAGGGAGAAGTGTTTCAAGCTCACGGCAGAGTGCACTCACTGATCCCAAACTCCGTCTGCTCTTTGTACTTCTCCAGGTCAATCTGGATGCTGGTTTTAAAGAAATCCAACTTGGCCTTGAGCTGCTGCGCCATGGAGGCCATGACATTCTTCATCTTGGAAAGGCAGCTGTTGTTCCGAAGCAGATTCATCCTGCAGCGATGGTAAGAAACAGAACCGTGGACACACGTGGCACCTAAGCACACTTGCCAAGTGAGGCTCGGCTGTAATCACAGTCACCACTTACAAAACACCTCTTAGGACAACTCATAAGGACAACTTCTAGCCTGCACCAACACATAAAGGTCTATGCCAAAGTCGGAATTAGGTAAAATACTACACGGAGCCCAACACATTCGTCCTAGTTGGAGAATCCATCAGCAAGTGTTCCACATACCAAACCAGGGCAATGTCCTTCATCCAAGGCTCACTGAGCTTCTCCAAGCTCCAGCTTCCACACAGATGAGCTGCCCAGGCCCAAGTTCCACACTCCTGCCCCATGTGCCAACCTCGCTGACCTTAGCAAGTCCCAGACCTCCCTCCAGCCAGCCCACCCAACTACTCCCTTTCATCCAAACCAGAGTCTCCTCTTGTCCCTCCCCAAGTGTTGTTTCTGGATCCCTGCCTCAGCCGCCCCTCTAGAGCCAAAGCCAACCAGCAATTTTCAGTGCATTAAGTAAAACCAGCAGCGTACATGGCAGCTCGTTGTCCCTGTTGCAGACGGTTGCCGTCTTCCTTCAGCGTTCGGATGCTGTGCCAGACTTGGCCCCACACTTTCCTCAGCTGGAAGAAAGAGAGGTTCCGCTTGGGCTCCTGAACTGGAAACAAAGAGTTGTCAGAGAGTACCTCAGATCCAGGGAGCCACACCCTGTCCCACAGCAACACTAGTATTTTTAGAGTTATAGAATCGATATACCATTACACAATTTTGCAGGTATTAAACATTTCAGTGTTCCACAATAGTACGACAACCAACAAAATATTACTATCAATTTGTTTTGAAGAAATCTAGGTAGTCAAACACGGTGACACACACCTGCAATCCCAGCACTTGGGTGGCCGAAGCAGGGCCTCTGCTGGGAGTCTGATGCAGGCTTATACATAGTCCAAGGTCAGCCTGCGCTATGGACCACTTGGAGACATAATTACAGGTATTCATTCATGCCTGTGTATTTTCAATAGACGCACTTATCGTTACCACATTTAAGGCTATGTGACATTTTCATGAAATATGAAAACACACTGTCAAGTGAGATGGCTCCGTGGGTAGCGGCTCTTGTCACAAAAGCCTAGTGACCTGAGTTCGGTCTCTAGGACCCACATAAGAGAACTGATTCCACAAAGTTGTGGCACATATGCCCCCCACCCAATAACAAAGAAATAAATGCATCATTAACCAGATGTACTAAAAATGTTTAAATAATCAAGAAGCCCAAGAGATCTTTGAGAGATTAGATCATTGATCTTTTTATTCTAAGTCTGTATCTGTGAGACAGGGTGGGGGGGGGTTGAAAATGGAAGTGCATTCTCACAATGTCCAAGCAATCATACAATGGAGTACTACACAGCCATTCAAAACAAAAGTGGTTCTGTCCTGATACGAGGAAGATGAACATACTGAGTGAAAAGGGGGATACAGAACAGGGCATATTTGTTATTTTTTGAGGGGGATACCCACGCATTTAATAGCAGTTTTGCTGGGAGACAATCTTACTGGCTGGAGACTAGAGCCAAAGTGCTTTCTTTTCACTGTAAATCCGTCTTAGGGGGTATCTTGAAGTTTTGTATTCTGGTTTTGCTTCTGCATCATGAACATACATTATTTTTTTGGGGGGGGTAACAGCCTCATGTAGCAGAGGATGGTCTTTAACCTGACAGAAAGCCAAACTCCTAATCCTCTTGCCTTTATCCTCCAACACACATTTGTTATTAAAATGTCAGTGCAACTTCAAAAATGAAGCACAGAAGCCTCATCCTCTGTGTCACACTCTGTAAGTGTCTGGATTATTCTCTGTATCTCTCATCCTGTGTCACACTCTGTAAGTGTCTGGATTATTCTCTATCTCTCATCCTGTGTCACACTCTGTAAGTGTCTGGATTATTCTCTGTATCTCTCAAAGAAGGCTTTTGCACCCCTGGACCAGGAGGACACATTTCCTTCACATCTCCCCCTCCAACTTTACCCCAGATATCACAACTGGTCAATTTTAATAAATGACACACTTACGGATACAGCTGACACTTTCAGGTTGGGGTCGGGGGGTGATCTGAGTCTCGTACGTGATTTTACTGTTGTCAAAGAGAAAAACAAGATCCATGTCCAGTGTGACACCCTCATTTGGCTGCAGAGGGACAAGAACACAGTGAGACCTGTGGATTTCACCCTTCGTTCCCAGCTACACAAGACCATGTAGAGCATTAGCAGCCACTCACAGAGGACGTCACCTCAGTCTATGAAGCACATGTGACTTGGCCTCCTTTCCTTCCTGATCTTTCTATTTCTACCTGCCCCTGTACACACACTTCCCCGTGAAGACTGTTTCTCATATGTTAACATGACCTCCCATTGGTTATTACGTTAGCACTTTGGGGCAGGCACCATGTCACACATTGGTGGGGTGAGCACAGGTGCCCAGCACATCTGTGTGGTCACAAATAGCTTAGGTTGACCAGAAGGACAGAACATGATTTTCGCAATAGAGGCACAAAAAAGAGCATTAGAGGTCTAGAAGTGACAAACTGAATACAGAATGATACACCTTTTTAGCAAGTCACATGGGAGTCCTGACCCACAAAGCAAGTTGTACATTCATTAACTGCCTGTCAGCTGATGGTCTCCCTAGGTGATCAAGTCAGGGGGAAGCAGAGCAGGGTGGGCGCGGCAGGAACTCGCCTTGCTGTCTGAGATGCACTGAGTCGCAGGCTTGTCCGGGAGCAGCACCAGCCCTGCCTCTTGCAGCAGCTCCTGGTCGTTCTCCAGGATCCCCGTGTCCTCCCGGATTCTGCTTTTTAAGCTCTGCAGACTCTCGTCCTCCGTCACAGGGTACGTGTGAACGGTGCCTGTGACCATGTTCAAGATATGAACCAGCTGCAACACAACCCAGATGTTACTGGAAGAAAAATTCTAACATTTATTTGCCTTCTGTGTTTGTATGCGTATGCCACCGTGCATGTGTGGAGATAAGGAGACAAAGGAGACGGTTCTCTCCTTCTGCTATGCAGGTTGTAGGGGTGGAAATCGGGTTGGTCGGGCTTGGCTGTAAGCATCTTCATCTGATAGCCATCTCACTAACCCAGAAAGCACATTTCTTTACAAACAGGCCCACGTGATTTGCCAAGATTCTCTGCCATCTTCAATACTTGTTAGTGAAGGCTCCCCCTTTCCTCAATGCCAGCTGGCAGCAATGTCCAACCCTAACCCTCAGGCTTCCTGTCCTCTTATTTTAGCCCCAAGACTCCCAGGAGCCTGAACCCCCCCCCCCAAAGCCAAATGTCCCATGACCTGCTATGTCCCCTTCCTCGTAAGAACTCCTGTGTCCCACTGGGAACCACAGCTGCTGTCTGGACTCTGCTCTTACCTTCAAGTTCAGGATGTCATCCAGGGCTCGGAAACAGCCATTCGGGCCGTACTGAGGATCCGTGCCCCTTTGTCGAGGGTGCCACATGAGCATCAGCTGCAGCCATTTCTCCAGACGTTCAGCCAGGACACTGACGGGAGCAAAGGTAAGAGAGGCCCCAGCCAGCTGCCTCCATGTGCTAACTCCAAGGCACAGCCTTGGCTGACAGCTCAGACAAGGACCCAAGTTCAATCTCAGGTCTCATACAAAAAATGCTTCTATCAGACAAGGGGATCCTTGGAGAGTGAGCCAGCTCAGCCTCTTTGTTGAATTCCAGGCCAGTGAGAGACTCCGATGTCAAAAAACAAAAACAACAACAAAACGAAACAAAAAAACAAAACCAAAAAAGGTGGACAGGTCCTGTGGGCTGAAACCCACCTGCTTTTGGGCTCCAGAGCACACACCCACTGGCACACAACACATTTTTTTTTTTAAAAAGCACAGCCTTGAGCATGTCTCAACATCACACATATGTTGACAACCAAATGATTATCAAAAATGAAACTGAGTGACCTAACAGAACACACATGAACACTTCCAAGTAGAGTAACAAGTTGGGAGCTTTTCTCCTTTGGAGAAGGTCACCCCCTAGGCCTTGGGGGTGACCTGGAAGCTTTGATAATGCATTCTAGAGCTGGGTTGTAGCTCAGTGGTAGCATGACTGCCTGGCTTTGTGGACTCATGATCAGTAGTATGTCTCCATGTTTATACATATGTGTAAACACACAGAAATATGAAAAAATATTTAGCCAAGATTTAATTCTTTGAGTAAAAATAGAAGCACACATATTTCATTAATAGTATTAGTATACAAATTTAATATCTATGTATTTAATATTTGTCTTTAATAAGATTTAATATTGGTCTTTTTTTTTTTTTTTGGTTTTACGAGACAGAGTTTCTCTGTTTTGGAGGCTGTCGGTCCAGCCTGGCCTCGAACTCAGAGATCCACCTGCCTCTGCCTCCCGAGTGCTGGGATTAAAGGCGTGTGCCACCAACGCCCGGCTTGATATTGGTGTTTAATGGTAAAACTATATACAACAAAGAAATTATAAATGAATTTCTTCATGATTATCAGTAGGTATTTTATTTATATACTTTGTTTATATATACTTTCATATGTTTATATATACTATATATACTCTATTTTTACATTTCTGTGGCAATATGAACATTTCTTGGGTACAAACGGACCACAAATGGAAAGTTTTGTTTTTTTGAGACAGGGTCTCACTATGTAGTCCTAGATGCTGGTTATCCCAGATACTCAACTATGTAGACCAGGCTGACCTTGTGCTCAACAGAGATCCACCTGCCTCTGCCTCCCCACTGCTGGGATTAAAGGTGTGCGCCACCATGCTGGGCTCTGAGTAGAAGTTTTAAGTAGCCCCGGTCTGGATTTGAGAGCACCTAGTGGACACGAACATGCCAATGTTCAATGCCCTCCTGCTGTCCCACACTAGGCTCTGTGCCCCACTGCCCACGTAGGTTCCATGCTGCTTCCACACTGCCCCTTAGGGCCAACCCCGTGTGCTTCTATAGTCTTCCCTGTTGAACTAAATCTTCAATCTGCCCAAGTCTCCTCTAACTCTCCCCCCTCCCCCCCCAACTATAGCACACCCAATGTTATGCCACACTGCTGTAATCCATATGGCTCCTTCCCCTGTCCCCAAATATGTGAGTAGTCACCAACCTGGAGCTTTCTTTTGTATTATGACCAAATTCTGATTCACTAATAAACTGCTTATATTTTAGCTCTAAGACTAGACCACAATGCCATTCAAACCTCAAAGATTTGTTAGTTTGGGCCAGACAAGGAACACAAAGAGGAATGAGGTATAATCTCTACACTTAAAATGACTTTCTGTGGAGTAAGACAAGCCCTATGCCAAAGTGAATACACTTCAAAGTAGACATCTGTCATAGTTTCAGCTGTCAATGTCAAACCCAGGGTCACCTGGGAAAAGGGAACCTCAAATGAATTGCCTTGAAAAGGTTGGCTGGTGGCCATGTCTATGAGGCATTTTCTTACTTGTTAATGGGAGTAGGGGGTAGCCTACTGTGGGCAGTGCCATTCCCTAAACAGGGGAACCTGTGCTGTATAAGAAAGCAGGTTGAGCTGGGGGTGGTGGCGCACACCTTTAATTCCAATACTCAGGAGGCAGAGGCAGGAAGATCTTTGAACTTAAGGACAGCCTGGTCTACAAAGTGAGTTCCAGGACAGCTTGGGCTTCACTCATAAAGAGAGAGAAAGAGGGAGGGAGGGAGAGAAAGGGAGGGAGGGGGGAAGGGGGAGGGAGGGAGAGAAGAAGAGAGGGAGAGAGAGGGGGAGGAAGGGAGAGAGAGAGAGAGAGAGAGGGAGGGAGGGAGGGAGGGAGGGAGGGAGGGAGGGAGGGAGAGAGAGAGAGAGAGAGAGAGAGAGAGAGAGAGAGAGAGAGAGAGAGAGAGAGAGAGAGAGAGAGAGAGAGCGCCGGCTGAGCAAGCCAGAGGGAACAAGGGAATAAGCAGCATCCTCCATGGTTCTGTTTCGGTTTCAACTCTGGGTTCCTGCTTTGAGTTCTTGTCTTAGCTTCCCTCGAAAACAATAAGATGTAGAAGGTAAATTGTTATGTGAATTTAGCAAAGATACGGTTTGGGAATGTAGCTCATTGGTAGAGCACTTGCACTGCATAAACAAAGACATGGATTTCATCTCCATAGAGAAAACCAGCTAACCAATTAATAACAACAACAAAAAGATTATAGGGGGATGAGCTACAAGAATCCATCCTTTGTCTAATGCTGAACTGGACTGGTCAAGTGTTCAATCATAGGATGGTATTCTATTATCCATTCCAAAGTTATCAAAGGGTCTAGCGATGGCTTGGTGGTTAACAGCAGGGGCTGCTCTTGCCTAGGACCTAGGTTTGGTCCCCATGATCCACATGGCTTCCACAGGTACCAGTCACTCAAGCAAATACAATGAAAACGAATGCATCAGATGTCACCTCAAACCTGTATTTCTAAAAAGAAAAATCCACACGACACACACGCCCGGTGGCCATACCTGTTAAGATTATTGGGGAAGGGTAAAGAGCTGGAAAACTTCACTGCTCCGTTCAAATCTTCACTGACAACAATGTCCACTTCACTCTTCTGCCGGACTTTGGAATGCCTGTGAATGCCGTTTTAAGACGTCCTTTATGTCTCTCAGTGGCAATACCCAGTTTACCCTCGTCACCTCACTTTACAACTGTATACTTGCTGACATAATGGTCGGTATGCCCACTTCCCTTTACAGGTATGTGCTAAGCATTTTTTTTCTAGAGTGAGTTTTCATAGTTCCCAATGTAGGGAATTTCCAAAGGTATTTGAGGGAGTGCTGGAAAGGGAAAAATTGGATCCAAGCGCCTTCCAACCTTCTTGGTAATGAGGACAACTTAAACTGGCATAATGCTTTATAAACAAGCAAACACTCTGCCAGAGTTCCTTTGGTTTCAGTGCTAACCCAGTGTGGTGACATTATTTTTAGTCTGCTACTTAGTGGTAAGGAAATGAGTAGTTGGTGTTCAATATTAGACAACTAGAGAGGGACAGAACAAAGGGCTCAAACTCTGGTATAATTTCTAGTGTATAAAAGTGCAAATTCATCTTTCCCTTAAATACAGTGATTAATAAGAAAATGCTTCAGCCTTAAACAGTCATCATTGGCAAGCAGTAAGCTGGCCTATGCTTACAGGGCAAACGGGAAGTGTGGAGAGGTGGAAGGAATATTCATGGCAAAGACTGCTGGCGTACAGCTCTAGTAGAAACTGGCAGGTGAAGTCAGGGCTCTGGGGCTTCTAGCTAGAGTGCAATGCTCTCCTACAGAAACCAGAGCCTTCCAGCAGGCAACGATAAACATGCATAAGCAAAGCTTGTACGGCTTGGGCTGCACGCCTTGTCATTTGGGAGTAGAGGACCCTGAAAGCACAGGTGGCAGGGCCTTCTCACAAACAAGTCCACAGAAACTGGGTTTCAGTGAAACTGACCTCTGCGCAGCCCACAGTAAGGTGGGTCTCGGGAAAAGCCTCTGTAGACAACAGGGATACTGTGAGGATGCTGAGCCAGTAACACTGCTTCCAAATAGTATTTTTCTTTCAGTTCTAACTTGTCTTGGTATAAGCAAAGAAAAGTTAAACATTTGTGGTGTTTTCCTGTTCTAGGGATGGAACCCACCAACTCTGAAAACTTAACATTTGAATAGCAAACAAGACAACTAATCCTTGGTTAACAGAAAATATAATACAAGTAATTTAAAGCTAGTTTACTTTGTGGTTACAACATTGTGTGACTATGAACTAAGTTCCCAATTCTCCCATATCCCAGATCCTATGGACTAAAAGACCATAGCCTGGTTTGTAAGTAGTTATCATAGAATAGTGGGCTTTCTAGGGCGTGTTTTCTGCCTCTGTACCAGCATGTGGCTCTAACTGTGGAACTGATTTCTGCTGCCACCACTCAAATCTTTCTTCTAGAACTGACTTCAAAGGCCATGGTTTTTGTTTTCTTTTTTTGTTTGTTTGTTTGTTTTTGTTTTTTCGAAACAGGGTTTCTCTGTGGCTTTGGAGCCTGTTCTGGAACTAGCTCTGTAGACCAGACTGGTCTCAAACTCAGAGATCCACCTGCCTCTGTCTCTCGAATGCTGGAACTAAAGGTATGTGCCACCACCGCCCCCCTCACCCCCCTCATTTTTTTCTTAATCAGAAAATATTTTCATGGAGGTGTGGCTGAGTTGGTCAAGTGTTTGCCCTTGCAGGTAAGAAAGTCCTGGATTCCATCTCCGGCACTGGATAAAGCGGTGTGGTAGCAGATGACTGTAATTCCAGTGTTTGGGAGCTGCAGGCAGGAGGACCACAAATTAAGGTCATCTGCTATGTAGTTTTTCTTGGTGTAAATTCTTGCCCTTTGATAAGTGTTTTTTTTTTAACTAATCTTACAAGGTACTGGGAAAATGAAGACCTCGGTGTTAAGTGTTTTTTACTAATCTTACAAGGCACTTAGGAAAATGAAGACCCAGTGTTAAGAACAGCACAGGAAAAGGTGAGATTGGTGTAACCCTGCAGAAGTGGGCTCTTGTACAGCCTTGTCTGGCAGGTGGCATAAGACACCTCAAAACTTAAAATGTGTATATTCTTTAAAGCTGTTAATTCTACTCATAGGAATGGATAAATAACCAGAGAAGTGTGAGCAACAGCTTACCTACAAGATGTTATTTATGGTATTATTTTAAGAAACATCAATTATAAGCCACTTCATTTTCCAACACCAAACAGACTTTCCAAAGTCCAGGAAGACATACAGCACGCTCATTGTGGGTATGAAAGCAGGATATATCAAAGGGCGTGTAAGGAGCTATTCTCTCTGAAGACAGAAACGGTTAGTGGCTGTTTCCAGATCATCTGCTTATAGCTGATTCTTTCCAAAAGTTAAAAACAATTCTGATTTTAGCATATGTGCTACCAAAGTCAGGACCTTTAGTTATTTCTATAAAAGTACAAAATTAATCTGTGGGGCAAACCGCACAGCACTTTTAGGTTCCAAACAAGGGTGTGTGTGTGTGTGTGTGTGTGTGTGTGTGTGTGTGTTGAGTAAATGGCACTGCAGGAAGTTTTGGTGTAAAATGCTTTCAAGGCACACACGCAACAGTGATCAGTTACAATACAGTGGCACAAAGAGGGTGGCAAAAAACAATCAAGTAAGCACGACCTGGCGGGAAGGGCAGGAGCATGAACTACACCAAAGCTAGTGGCTGTCACGCCTTTGTGGGGGAGACCAGGTGGTACGGAAACTCTCATGAGACGATCTTTTACACTGGACTTTAAGACATGCAAGCTTATTACTACAAAAGCCACTTTAAGAAAAAACTTCCTACAGAAAGACTTACTGCTGACGAATTTTACTACACGCATTACCTGTCATGTGTGCTCGTCTGTTCTCTTTACTAATAACTTGCTAACATTTCATCAACGTCAACGCACAGTTATGAAGTGGTCTGGAGTGGACTACCTTGCCGAGACCAACCCTATTAGGGTCAGTGCTCTATTTACAGATGTTGCTAGCAACCATTCTTCCGTTAAAGGTTAAGAAGCTTGAACTGTCACTGCTGGGCCCTAAGGGAGAACAGACCACAGACCACTCGGGGACCAGGAAAGGACCAGGTGACAAGACACGGAGCCAGGAGCTCTCTCCCCCGCCACCAGTACCAGGTTAACTCACCACTGCACGGGTTGCCAGTTAGGAAGAAAGGGCCGGAAGCCAGTGATGCACTCAAAGGCCAGGGTGCCGAAGCTCCAGTAGTCAACAGTCACTGTGTACTTCTGCTGCTCCAGCAGCTCTGGAGCCTGAAACACACAGGTGGGGCTGCCTATGCCCTCCTTGTGGTTGAGTTGCCAGCTCACAGAACCAGCTCCCTGCCTTCACCACCAGGGTAGAGCACGTCACTCAAGAGTGAGAAGGTGAGCAACCTGACAGGTCCAGCTGTGGGTGTGGGAGATTGGGTTTTTTTGTACTTTATATTCTTTTGTTTCTTTTTTTTTGTTTGTTTGTTTTTTGAGACAGGGTTTCTGTGTAGCCCTGGCTATCCTAGAACTCACTCTGTAGACCAGGCTGGCCTCAAACTCAGAAATTAGCCTGCTTCTGCCTCCCTCCCGAGTGTGCACAGAAAGTGTCTACCATAGCTCTCCCCCTGCCCGACCATTTACGGCTTGATGATTGCTCCTACCCAAGCCCACCTCTTGACCCCACCCTCGCCCACCTCTTGACCCCACCCTCCTTGTTCAACTGTATTTTGTTTCTGTTATAACATGAGCTTCTGCTCAGTCCATGCAATCCCAACATTTCTGTCAGTCATTGCTTCATTCCCTTGCTACCCATAGCCAGGTCAAGTTCCTGGAGTCATACAAGGATTTGCCAATCATGGTCAGAGCATGGGTACACCTCGCTTAAGAGTTGCTGAGCTGGCTGGGACTCCAGAGGGTATTTAGCAGGATGTATATAATTACAATATCACATGGATACACTGCCTGAATTATGTCCCACAGTCACCATGGGGAAAGCTGCATTCCATACAGCAAAAGAGAAACAGAAGGTTCCCATGACTCTAGTTGGTAGGCTAGATAAGAAACATTAATTCAGAAAAACAAGACATAACTTCTTTCTTAATAGGATGCTTAATCTCTTTTAGCCCCGAGTCCTTCAATCTTTTGTTTATTGAACTTAAATTCCATTATTCAATCACAATCTGATGGCCGTTATCACCAATAAGTAATCCAAGTCCTCCTTAGTGCCTTATCTAACCTACACCCTACTTTACTTACGATAAGCTCTCACTACGTAGTTCAGGCTGGCCCCAAACTCATGCATTTCTTGTCTCCACCATCCAAGTACTTAGATTACACGCTAAGTGTTGAGATTGCAGGTGTGTACAAACGATGTCCCAGCCTGGTAAGTGTTTCTTGAATTTATCATTCTGTGCCTCCCTCTCTCCTTGCACAGATATCAATGTGTCCATTCCAGTAGCCGCCTTACAAGCCATCACTCTCGCTTGGTGCAACTCACTCTCACACTATTCAAATACAGCTTCTTCCATGTGAAGCCATTCAGTACTGTTCCAGAGATTTATGATACAGTTTAAAGCCTTTAGAAGCCAATAAAAAGGGATAATTTGTCCCTTCCTCCCTCCCTCCCCAGTTTCACTCCAGACCCCTCCCCTTTATTCTCTAAGCCTGAGTCACACTATTGTATCTTCCAATGTGCTATGCCTTTGCCAATGTCTCCTCCTCCCCACCCTTCCACTGCCTTCGCCCACTCTGGCCCAGACTTTGCTCGGCCCTCCTCACACGCATCCTTTGACTCTGTGCTTTTATCAGTGGCACTCACGACAATGGTGGCTTCTGAGTTATCTGTGTCTCATGGTGACTAATGCCTGCTTTCTTCTCAAGTGTTAACCTCTCAATGAGCAGAAAACAGCTTATCTCTTTTCTCATTGTACTCCCAACTCTGAGCACAGTGTCTGGCGCACAACATTCCTGAAGAATGAGTTGATCAAATAATACTCCAGTATTGAGACCACACAACACACACAAGAGGGGTCACAGCGCCACCTCTCCCTCACTGACCCCTGTGACCCTTCAAGCCAAGTCTGCCTCTACAGACAACCAGACAGAACACTGTGGCACAGAGAGGTTCCAGGATTTGGGTAAAGGCAGACAGTGTAGCCCTTCTCACATCAGAGCAGAGACTAAATCTTTCCAGAGGGCACAAAAACACTCTCACATGAGTGAATTATCAATGCTGAACTCACACAAAAAATCCTAAACATCTACGGAGCTAGCAAGCCCAAGATGCAGGCAAGGACAGACAGACAGAGCCACAAACATGAACATATGAGAGCCTGAGGAGCAAACACTTGGGCCCATTTCTTACCAGGTACTGCAGAGTCCCCACAAAGGAAGTGCACAGGCTGCCCTGATCAAGCTCCTTGGCATATCCTAGATCAATAATCTTGTGTATTAACTGGAAAAGAAAAGGGGGCGGGGTTGGGAGGGGAGAAGAAATCTGAAGGCTGTAAGATGACAGTCTCCTTTCATAACGTGAGCTGGTTTGCCATTAGAACAAAGATATTTCTGAATTCCCAAAGAATGTTGGTTCCTAAATATCTTAGAGCCACTGTATTCACAGGAGAACACCCTCAGCGGGGGACATTTTGGGCACTGTAAAAATGTTGGGCAGATGTTTTTCTTAGTTTGTCACCAATCAATGAAGAGGCTACATATTGGACCTCAGGGTCACTAGGCCTGATTTGTAATGTGAGAGGCCAGGCCAGGCCCTGGTCGGGAAATACCCAAACTTCCTGGGAGAATGAGTGTTCAGTGAGCCTGCCACAGCTAGGAATTGTAGGGGAAGCTGTTGTCGGAAGGGATGGGCGATTCCCTGGTTGAACAAAGTTGAAAAGAATACAGTATCTAAGCCACCCTCAAGCAGGGCCACGAGCAGCTCGTGTGTAACGGCAAACTGAACCATGCCCATGATGGTCTTTTCTCTACCACATCCACAACCAACTACGGCTCATTTTAACACCAAAAGATGAGGCTTACAAGAGGAAAAGAAAAAGCCTGTTCCCAAGAGGTTGAGGGCAGAGGTGAAATAATAAACATTTTCCTTATCAGATTCCTCAGCTTGGGCAATTAACAATGTAATACATGCAGAGCTGGAGGAAAACACAAACTAAAAACCAATGTGAGACATCCAAGTTTGCGACAACGTGCCAGCAAGAACAGTTTGCACTGTTGTTTCAAAAAAATGGAAAGAAACCAAAAAAGAAGAAATTCCTAAGAAAACCAGAGTGTGACTCCAGGAAATACAGAGACAAACAACCTACAAAGCAGTGCTGGCGCCACCCCCTAGCAGCCCTGGAGACACCCCAGCCCCAGGAAGGCCACTCACTCGCTGTTCTCCTTGCTGCAGAACGATGTTTTCTGGCTTCAGATCCCGATGGATGATCCTGTTCTCATGAAGGTATCTAAGTGCCGACGCTAAGGGAGTGCAATGGGGAATGAGATCTTATTACGTCTAGAAGTCTAGAAAATGCTTTCCTCCTTCAGAACCGACTTGCCCATAAGAGACGAGGGCGTGTGGTCTTGACACATTGTCTGACTTCGGTTGCACAAACTCCCCGTGGACAGAAGCAGCCTGGAGTTGACACTGCTCAGGCCAGGTGAAAGGGACCAGGCCAAGAGAGCAGAATTTTAACTGAGATTTTGGCTTTCGTTGATGGTGTAGCTCAGTCGGTACAGTGCTTGCCCAGCAGCCGTGAAGTGTTGAAGTACTGCATAAAAAGACAAGCCATGGGGGTGTATGGGAGCCCTTGGGGGGATGGAGGCAAGACCTGCAGTTTGAGGTCATCCTCCAGGTGTGTCAAGGCCAGCCTACAGAAGGCCCCAATTAACAATGGGAAATAGGAGCAAAAAAAAAAAAAGGGTTCAAAAACAGAGCTCAAGCAAGGGACTAGGAAGAATGCAGTACGTGCCCCACAGAAAATATGGGTAACACACAAACAGCCTTTAAAGTCAGCAAAAGCAAGAACCAGGTGTAGCAGACCTGTAATGCCAGCCTCTCAGGAGCCTGAGACAGACAAGGGGCAGCAAATTCACAGGGAGCCTGGGCAACTAGGTGAGGCTGTCTCAAACCAAAAAGGGCTTGGGATGTAGCTTAGTGGTAGAGCACTTGCCTAACAAGAATGAAGGCCTAGGTTCAATACCCAGTAAAGGGGGGGGGGACCAAAATGAAATAAAAAATGCAAAAGAAAATAGTGACTTACAAAAGAAATCTAAATGACACATAAGTTAGTGAACAGTTACTCATATCAAAAACTGCACAGTGAAGAGAACTCTACTACATTGCTGGAAGGAATATAAATACTTATTTTTTGGAAAGTAATATGGCAAAGTAGTATTTTTAGAAGATATATATTTTTAGAAATAGGGAAAGAATAGATATATATCTGTCTTGACCTATGGTTTCCACTTCTTAAAAACTACCTCATAAAACTGTAAACATCACTGCTTAGTGGGTAGAGAGCTCAGTTCAAGTCTTCCTCACCTCACAAAGGGAACAGGAGTTAGGACTGTGACTCAGTGGCAGAGTGCTTGCCTGCCATGCACGAGGACCTGGGTGTGACTCCCAGCATCCTCAAAGGGGGAAAGGAAGGAGAGAGAAAGAGAAATCTGGACATGGTGGTGACTGCAATTCCAGGGCTCGGGAACTGCAGGGTGATGCGCTCAAGGCAAGCACGGGCTTATTTGTGGAGAATCTGCCTCCAAAGATCGTTCTCCCCAAAAATGGCACTGCAGGACGTAGAGTGACAATTAGAAATGCTGAAGTTTGGTTAATAATCCAGGACTGCTGAGGTAAACAATACATCCACACTGTAGGCAGTTCTCTGAGCACCTGTGTGCTCCTCACGTGCACTGTCTGTGTGTGCTTTGTGTGTTGACACATGAGATACACATGCATGTGACAGCCTAAGACTCAGGTGTCGTCATCATTTCCTATCTTCCCCCTGTCCCCCCAGAGTTTCTAAAGCTAGCAGTTGGGCAATTCATCTAGACTGGTTTCCCAGCAGCCCCACAATCCTCCTACGTTTGCCTGCCGGGGATGGGATTACAGGTGCACACTTCACACTTTCGCCTGCAGTGAGCTGGCTAGTTTTACATCACCTGGAAGCAAGCTGGAGTTGTGTAAGAGGGGACTCCTACTGAGAAAATGCCCCTAGCAGACTGGCCTGTGGGCAAGCCTGTAAGATATTTTCTTGATTGATGGCTGACTCCGAAGGGCCCAGCTCGCTGTGGGTGGTGCTGTCCCTGGGCCGGTGGCTCTGAGTGCTTTTAGAAAGCAGGATGAGCAAGCCGTGAGAAGTCAGTAAGCAGCATGTCCTGTTTCAGTTCCTGCCTCCAGGTTCCTGTTCTGACTCCCTGGATGATGGACTGTGATGTCAAAGTGTATGAAGGAAACCCTCTCCTCCCCATTGCTTTTGGTTATGGTGTTCTATTGGAGCCATAGAAACCTAAGACACAGAGCCAGCACTCCAGTTACTATAGTAGGCAACTTCGCTAAAAACAATTTAGGTGTACAGCTTTTGACTTCAAAGGGTGCTGATGATGACCAGACCCCCATACTTTTTTAAAGTAAAAGTGGGCATATGCCTATAATTTTAACAGGAAGGTTATCATGAGGTAGAGGTCACCCTAATCTAAATATTGAGTTCAAAGCCAACCTTGTCTACATAGAGACCCTGTCTCAAAAGGGGCAGGGGATAAAAGTCAATAAGATTTAATACAAAGACCTTTCTGTGGCAATCACAAATGTACAAGTGCATCCACATACTAAACCATACCTATACATACAAAAACATACGACACACAGATACCACCTATCAGGAGGGACTGAGTCATTTGGAATCTCTGGCAAACTGAGGTGGTGGTCATCCCCCAGGTAGGGGGTGAGGGGTACCCACCAGCAAAGAGCAGAAGACAAGTACTACACAGACAACAAGCCAGCAGGGCTGACAGTGAAGACTTTCAGATGGTGTTTCCTAAAACCTATGTGGCAGTCAAATAGTGAAGAGAGTTCACACTCAGAACATTAAGCCACACTCACACCACTGAGTGAAGAGAGTTCACACTCATAACATTAAGCCACACTGCCACCACTGAGTGAAGACAGTTCACATTCAGAACATCATTAAGCCACACTGCAACACCACTGGTTATATTTCCCCATTCAGCCCTGGCCCTAACATTTTCTGTTTGCTTCTCATTTTCTTGTATAATGGCCAACAGTAGACTGCCATGTTCACTTGCTATCCAAACAAAGAATTCCACTCAACGGCTGAGGTAAAACGCCTAATGTTGTTCATCAGTACTTCATTTTTCGTAATTTTTATTAGTAAAGTCATCATGGTGATTTTTTGTTGTTTTTCAAGAACAGGGTTTCTCTGTGTAGCTTTGGTTGTCCTGAAACTTGCTCAGTAGACTAGGCTGGCCTTGAACTCAGAGATCTACCTGCCTCTGCCTCCAGAGTGCTGAGATTAAAAGGTGTGCCACTACCACCTGGTCAGTCATGGTGTTTTATTGAAGCAATAGAAACCTACCTAAGCCACAAAGCAAGAACTTCACCAAGTCATCTCTCCAGTGATTACAATAGACAACTTAAAAACAATTAAGGTCTATAGTTTTTTACTTGAAAGGATGCAGATGACATACTGTCTGTCAACTGAATGGTATCAGACCCCACAACCATTTTTTTAAAGTAAAACTTGGGCGTGGTGGTTGTATGCCTGTAATCTTAGCATGAAGATGTAAAAAGCCAAATCAGTACACTCACAGAGCACTGTAGGAAGGGGTGGAGCTGCTACAGAGCCTGAACCATGGGCAGAGAGAGGAGCAAGGCCCTGACGAAACTTGAAATGCTTGTCTAAAGGGTCACCGCTTTAGTCTGCGCTCGGCTGCTGGAGAGTGAGTGTAGTGTGCGTGCCATGTGGAAGACGAGTCTCACCGGATTTGGGAAAGTACATATAACTCAACTAAAACAAGGGCCCTGCGGTTGGAAGCATAGCATCTTAGGGAAAACATGTGCATGAGCCCCAAGAACCCCATTAGGGGAAGCACACATGGATGGCAGAGAACACACAGCCTGCCCTGACTAACTGTCACCAAGCCCGGGGAGGAGAGGGACAGCATGCGGTAATCCACCTTCTCACTGTGACTTTATAGCTACTGATTTTGACACATACACAATGCTAACAAACTCGAATCTTCGTTTTAGTGCAGCCATGTATTCTCAATATCTTTCCTAACTTAAAAACTGAAACCAGACAGAGTTATAGGTGTTTTCTTGGACTAAGCAGACCCTAGGTGGTGAATACAGCAAGCATTCTGACAGGCAAGGGCTTCTAAATGGCTTCTCTTAAAAATCAGGTCCTCAAATGAGGCAGTCTGACAAGGAGTCCCTGAGGAACTGATTAAAATGATCTCAAACTTAGAGAACCTAAACTGGCTTAAACTGGATGAAACATGCAACATTGAAAACCAAGTAATGCAGTGTCTAAACCCTTGGATGCAGTGACAGAATATACCCCTAAAATCTGAAAACTACAACACAAGTATTTAATCTCTCATGTTCCAGTTAGAGAAATGAGCTGTTAACGCACACTCCTTTTTAGACTACATCGTAGGGCTTAGCAAGCGTAAGCTCCTGGGTTTCACTCCTACCTAGCACAGAAACGAACAGCGCTCTGGACACACCCTGGCCTGTTGTCGCATGGATTCTGCAGAGGGATCCAGGTGCAGCATCCATAGCTGGCAGAGAGCATCACCGTGAGTCTTGTCAGGGTGGTACCCACATCTACACCCAGGACCTCCCTGAGCTTACACAGGAAGAAGAGGACCGGAAGTCCAAGTTGTTCAGATGATAGACTACAAGTTAGGAAACAGACAAGAGCAGCCAGGTTTCCAGGCAGGAAAGTGGTATGAGGGGGTGTGCCAGTGACGCCCCAATTTTCATACAAGTCTAAGAGTCTCGAGTCTCGTACGCTCTTTCCAGAATGCTTGAGATATGTTCCACTAGGAAGAAATGGGAAGACAAATGGACCAGAAGGTTCTGGGGTTGGGGGGATGGGCGCTAGAAATCAGAAGAAAAAGAAAAGGCGAAAAGCAACGGGTAGGGGTTGGGGGTGTATCCTAGTGGTAGAGGGGGAAGGGCAGAAGGAAGAAAAGAGAGGGAGGGATGGGGGCAACCAATGAGTGGTCCAAGTTGCCACTGAGTAATAAAAGTAAGAGGATGTCTGTGTTCTTAATTAAAATACTGAGCCTACCACGAACTGCCCAGTTTGTTGAACTTTCCAGGCAAAACAGCCTTAGTCTGGCTAAAACAGGCTCTATGACTAATAAGCAGAAAGTGGCAGGAGCGAATGTTAAGATGAAAGCAGAATCAGTCTCTCGCTTGCTCAGTGACCACGAGGAGCCTAAGAATCCTGTGAGAGAAATCAAGAGTGGCGAGCTAAGTCTAGGGCTAAGACATGGGAAAGCTGAGGGTCCCTGGTGAGGTACAGGAATAGCACCCCAAGGGGAAGCCAGTGCACAGCATGGGGAAGTAGGCTATAGGGATCCTGTGCACAGCAGGCTAGCTACCCGAGTTGGAAGGAAAGGCAGGCGAGGAGGTCTGCAGCAATAAGAAGTACCCTTTCCCTCAGGCATGGTGACACACATCTGTAACTTCAGGACTCAGAAGCTGAGGGAGAGCGCTGCTGTGAGTTTGAGGCCAGTCTGGGCTACACAGTGGGCTCAGGGCAAGCCTGAGGTACACAGTGAGATTTGTCTCAAAAACACAAGAGAAAGCACCCTTCCAGAAAAAAGAATCCAATGAGGCGGCCAATATGCAGTCATGACAATATGTGATAGAGAGAAGAGGACATTAACAAGACAGACATACTGGACTTGGGGACTTTGTCATCTTACTCTTTTTGTTTGCACGCTTTGAGGCATGGCCTCTGATCTCTAGCCCAGGTAGGCATCAACCTTACCATGACTTTAAATTCCGGATCCTGCTGCTCCTACTCCCCCACCCTCACCCCTGAAACACATGCCACCAGGTCCAGTTTATGAGTCACTGGGCATCATGCATGCTAGGCAAGCATTCCAGCAACTGAGCTCTACCCCAGCTCAATTTGGAGAGTGTTTTCATGTCCTTTGGTGTCGCTTTCGGCCAGGCATGTGCGAAAGTATGATGCAGGGGAAGACTGTTGATGGGGAGATTTAAAGATTTTATTTTATGGGTATGAGTGTTTCGTCTGCATACATGTGTACTATGTGCATGTCTGGTGCCCATGGAAGCCAGAAGAGGTTTTTACATCTCTTGGATTGTGAGTCACCATATGGAGACTGGGAACCAATTCTGGGTCCTGCAAAACAGTAGTAAGTACTAGCCGGGAGGTGGTGGTCCACATCTTTAATCCCAGCATTCGGGAGGCAGAGGCAGGGGTATCTCTATGAGTTCGAAACCAGTCTGGCCTACAAGAGCTAGTTCCAGGACAGCCTCCAAAGACAGAGAAACCCTGTCTCAAAACCCCCTCCCCCCCCAAAAAAAGAGTAGCAAATACTGTTAACTACTGACCTAAAGGATGAGATTTAAACTTGACACTCATGTCTGGGTAGGCAGAAAGACAGGCCCAGAGAAGAAAATATCACAAAGGGATCTAGTAAAAAGTCTGGAGTTCAATTTGGAAGTGAGGCTGGGAGAGAGATCCTGCAGACACAGTTGGTAGATATACAAGACGCCAGGAAGGCGACCAGCAATACAGTAAAGAGCGCAGCTGGTCATGTAGAGGAAGGTGTATAGATGGAGCAAGAATAAAGAGAAGAAGAAAGCAATGGGGAAGATAAGGTGTGGTCTGGGCATGCGCAGTAGGCCTGCAGTTCTAATATTCATGAAGCCAAGGCAAGAGGCAAGAGGACCATGAGTTCAGTGACAGCCTGGGGTCACTGACCAAGACTCTGTGGTGGGACAAAGAAGGCTTCCACCTGCCCCCTCAGTCCTGATTGCTTGGGAATTTGCTGCCTCATTAGCAGGAAGGAAAAACACTGATGTTTTCTAAAGGGCAATGACCATTTAGTGTTAACTGACTCCTGTAAGCTATTTTGGGGTCATGTTATGAGGAATTCCAAACTGTTACCACTGCATCCATGTCAATCCCAGGATCTCTTGCCAGTATAAGGCAATGATCCGACAGGCTTGCTCTAGGAGGCAGGGTTCATCTGTGTCTGCCAGGAATCTGTTTTCTCATGCATACACTACTTACAAGTTGCTAGAGCTATACTTGGTAACTTAAAATTCACTGGAAGAATCCTACTGTGTGGCTGTTACCTTGGTGATGTTCTGTGTGGGTGCCCCACAAAATTAGAGCCCAGATGTTAGGGGCAAATAAATTTAACCCAAATGAGAAGGCAATGAATCTGGACCCTGAAATCAGGAGGTTGGCTTTGCTAATTAACTGAAATCAACCAGGCAGGGAACAGCAGTGATGACTCCAGTAAAGGAATGTGGGATTGGCACTTGGAATGAAATATGCTCAGCAGTGTTTCAGAATATGAAACGGTTAGGTCAGCTGAGCCACTCTAAGTAGAGCTTTTGAACTGGCTTAGTAGTTAGACTAAATCTGATGGTCTCATATACAAATAAGAAATGGGAGGGGGGCTTCAGGTAAAATGTAAATCTATCAGCAACTTCAGCCAGAGTCAAAGGATAGGAACGCATTCCAGCAATGGCTGGCTTAGAAAAGGCTAGAAAAGATCGGGCATTTATTTTCTAGGAAGTGCATCTCATGAGACTCCCACCTGTTGGATTTGCTGGCTCTAACCTCATTAATAATCCATAGTAGGAACTGAGGGTTTTCAGGATCCAGCAGTGAGGGGGGCGGAAAAGGGGACCATACTGACTTACCGTTCTAGGATAACACTGTGCCAAGAGCTTATGTATAGCATTTTGTTTTATGTTCAATGATTCTAATGAGGCAAGCAACGCTCTCACTTATAATTAATAAACATTCTGAAAAATGAAGTAACACTTCAGGTCACATGACTAGTAGATGGAAGCTGGGTATTAATACAGGGATGTCAAGTTTTTTAATGAGTATGTATTTCAATTCCTTTGAGAATATGATCTTATAAGTATCTACAGATAAGGCAGGATATACCAGCTACTACCCTTTCTAGATGTGAAAGACAAAGGCAGTGACCAAAGGTTCTGATTTTAAAAAAATTTGGTTCAAGAATTGGGTAGAGCTCAATGGTAAAGTGCTTGTCCAGCAGGCGTGAGACCAAGGACACACTTGAGTTATTAAAGTTACCACACCCACGAAAGTAATGTCATAATGAGGCAGCAATCCAGTTAGTGCACACAAACCAATCATCTTAAGAGCTTTTCATTTTTGTTCTTTTCAGACGGTTTCCACTATAGCCCAGGCTATCTTCAAAGTCACAGCAATATTCTTGCCTCTATCTTCCAAAAACTAAGACTACAGGGGTGAGCTACCAGTCCCCATTTAGAGACTTTTAATAGCTATATGATAGATGCATAAATAATCTAATGAGTAGAAGAAATATTTGATAGAGTAACATCAAAGAAAATGACTTGAGGAAAATGACCATGTTGCCCATGGAGAACAAAAGAATCCGCTCTCCACCCCTCCCCACTAACCTGCCTTCAACTCAATCCAACTGGAGCAAATTAGTAATTTGATTGGTTTTAAGAGACAGAGTCACGTAACCATCTAAGGCAAAACATGGGTGAGACATGAGGCGTGGTGTCACGAAGACGAGTGAATTCTAGACCTCTGGACTAGATCTCACAGGTATTCAGACAGGGCCCCTTCGGGCAGACACACGGGAAAATGAGAGGCCAAGAGGTGGCTGCCCCTTACCCATGAGGAAGACTGTAGTAACATCACCTAGCCCTCCATGGGGCTCCATTCAAAAGGAACCAGTGGGATACACAGGAAGGCGGATTGTGAATGTCAGACTGCTTAAATCTCAGTCTTCAATACATGGGAGCTCGACCTCCCACACCCCACTGCTCCCTCCAGCACCGCTCTGCCTCCCTCTACCTGAAGAAACAGAGCAAGAGGCAGCAGACCCATGCTGGCGAAGTTTCTGAAAGGTAAGAGGCCCCTGGGCTGCGAGGTTAGAGAATACAGCTGCATAAATGGGGTAAAAGTTAATGACTGGAAAACCTAAGGAAAGCGTGTGTGATTTCATCACATTACTTCAAACCTTCTGTGTGACAACTGGAAAATCTAAATTCCAGTGAACATTACATACGTATAGGTTGAAAGGATGAAGTAGGGGAGGGATGAAAATTGGGTCATTCTTCAAAAATGGGAACATATTCAAGAGTAAACTCTAGATTACTCTAGAACCCAAACTATCAATTTGCAGCAGCCTTGGATGATGGCATCATCATCATCATCATCAATCATTTTTAAAGCCCTAAGCTAGCTCTGTGGCACTTCTCGTATCTGCTTCTCCAGGTCAGAGGCAGAGCTGACCATCAGAGCCCCACTTTTGGTACCCATTGGAGCCCCAGGATCTAGGAGACACCGCACAGCTCTGCAGGCCCTCGGACTCTCCTCCCTGATGCCAGCTTCTCAGAGTGCCACAAGCAATGGCATCTAAGGACACTCGGTACCAGTGTATCAAAGAGCGGGCTTTTCTATGCCTGTGGTCGGCAAATAACTGCCGTTGTGAGAGTAGAAAGCTTCCCTACCAAAGGATGGAGCGGTCCAGATGTGGTCGTCCCAGGAAAGTGGGGAGTGGAGCTCTTCAGTGGGAAGGGAACAGTCATCCGCAGCATGACTTAGGGAGGAAGGAGCCCTGGCTGAACTCCTTACCACACTCGGTTCTCTCCAGATCTCACCACACCCTCTGTAGAGACAATCCCCTGAGGTGCCTGACTGAACTCACATCTACCATGCAGGGCCTGGCTTTGTTTCTAGGGCGGGACTTACCGATGTCACTCAACAGGGTAAGGATGGCTCCTTCCCGCAGGCCACAGCAGTTCTCGAACTGGTTCAAGTACTACAGAGAACAAGAAAAGCAGGGTCAGTGTGGGTGGTCACATGCCCCTGAGAAGCCCATCAGAGTCTCCTGTCCATCAGACAGCCAAGTGCTGGTATATACCAGGGTTCAGGGGAGCTGGTCGGAGGCAGCAGGTATATACCAGGGTTCAGGGGAGCTGGTCAGAGGCAGCTGGGGCAGTTGGAGGACTTGCTCCAGGGTCAAAGTGAGACAGCAGTCAGTAGATATTCATGTATTCACCTCCCTGGCCCTGGCAGGAAGTAGCTGAGTCAGCTTTACTACTTCTGTAAGTCTGAAGAGAGTGGCCAGGGTCTAATGTCAAGAGCAAATGAGCTTGTGCTCGAGATCCTGCAGAAAGGGCTGGCCACTGGCCACTCTGCTAGCAGGGTCTTCCTTGGACAATTTAATGTGGGGAATGTGCGCTTGCTATTATGCCCAGCTGTGCAGGGACGAATTCGGCAGACTTTGCCTGCTCTACCCAGCATCACCGCCCTGAGTGCCCCTGCTCCACCCAGCATCATTGCCCTGAGCCCCACGGCTCTCTCTGACGGAAGAACTGTTGGAACCTCCATGTCAGAGGTGAAGAAATAGACTGGGAGTCTAATATCAGCCGGCACACACAGCTGAGGGGCAGGGCTGTAAAGCGAAGCTGAATTCACTGAAGCTGGGGCTTTGAATCCTTTGGTTTCTGACTCTCCAGTTTATCAAGGGGCTCGACACACTGCAAGTCAACTTGTGGTCGTTAGCATTCAAATTCATGAATATCCCAGAGTTTGTTTCCCTCTGCACCACACATTGCACGCTTTTCCTGGTTTGAATTTGTTTGAGGGTGTGTGTGTGTGTGTATTTTAACAGGGTCTCACCATACTTTGTAAGTTCACCTCAAATTCTTGAAAAAGTCTCCTGTTTTAACTTCCCCCACAGCTGAACTACAGGTACAAACAAAGCATGGTAGACTTAAGTCTTGAAATTAACTCTAATTCTGAAATTTACTGTCAGTTTGTCAAGTTTATCAAAGACAGTAGTTCTCTACCTGTGGGTCAAGACCCTTTTGTGGGGTGTCAAACCACACTTTTTATGGGGGTCTTCTAAGACCATCAGGAAGCACAAGATATGTACATTACGGATTCACAACGGTAGAAAAATTAGTTATGAAGTAGCATCAAGAGTGATTTTATGGTTGGGGTCACCCCATCACGACGGACTGTATTATAACTGTTAGGAGGTTGAGAACTACTGCTCTAAGAGATGGTATAGATTTTGGGCACTAATATAGATTTTGAACTTTTAAGAGAAGGAAAAGATAGGCTACCTTATTTAGGAAACAAAGAACAAGATCATAGGGACTCTGAGCAGGAGGACCCTCTCCCCAGTGGCATTTCAGTGACAGTGAGGACAGAGGTCCTTTCTTGCAACCACACACTGCCTCTCCCTAGATCACCCTGAAGCCCATGCCAAGACTCAGGCTGAAATTCCTGTCATCTTTTCCCTTGGCTTACGGGTTCTTTGCCACCTAAAAGGGCAAGCGTGTTTCTCCACTGCTTTTCTGAGTACCCTGTCACCTGGTCATACCCACCCACTTGTCACTCCAGTCTGACCAACTGCCACTTGATTCTAACAGCTTACAACAGCATGGCTGCATGGCTACGTGACTGCGGTTGGCAATGGACGACTGTCAACATTCAGAAAACAGGAGAAATCACAGGGGGCGTTGCCAAGTTTCCATTTCACTTCCGTTATCATCCAACTTACGCTGCCAGTCACATCCTGTTCCCAGGCGACACCAACTATCGGGGCTTCCCACCCCTCCACAGCGGGGGAATCACTCATGGAAACCTTCCTTTTATAAAACAGGGGGAAGGCCCTGAAGACTACAGAGCACAGCCCATGACGTGTAAGTCTGACTGCTACGGAAAGAGACGGGAGTAGCCCCATGCTGTGACACCTTTAAAGGGCGGAACGGAGCTATGGGAGGAGTAGACTAAAAAACAACTCACTCACTTGGAGCTTTACTTTCTAACACTAAATGACGTGACCCAGGTTCACAGATGGAGATGCCTACTCCTGGGATGGTCTGTGGTCCAAGTTCCACCACAGCTGCTGTATGCAGCTAGAGATCTATCTAATTAATGCCTCTGGGCCATGGCATCTACTTGCAGAGCAGGAATTCTATCTGGGTACCAATATGCTGAAACCATAAAACCAGGCACCCGATAAAAGCATAAAGAGTATCTCTGGGTGGCACTCAGAACTGTCCCTGAGACCAGGGAGAACGGCCATTGCCCTCTGTCCAGCATGGGTTTGGAGCAGAGAAGGTAGGACAGCGAGAAGGAAAGGGGAAGCCCGTGGGTCAGTCAGAAGGACATGGAGCGGCAGCCCTGTTCCGATGACTAAGCTGGCTCCCCTCTGCCCTCTGTGACCCATGCGGCACTGTCACATCTGCGAAGCAAGTCTCTCCGTTGGACAGCAGGGATGCCGACCCCAAAGGCCTGCAGTGCCCTAACACGCCAAAGGGGAAGAGTTTGTATCGAGACTCATTCCGATTCTTCCCTGTGGTCCAGGTCTGACAGTAACCTTTCCTAGTCCCGTTAGTGATCACGTGGTCAGGCTTCAGCTTTCTTGCAGGCACTTCTGACTGACCCTTCTGATTTGCACTTACAGAAGCCACTCCAAAGAAGGCATACAAGGAGGATTTTGTGCAGATGAAGTTGGTCCACTGACTCCCTGAGCTTGCTGGATGATGGTGAATGGTCTCACCATTTCTTCCCTCCCAGCATCCCAGCCTAGATGAACCTACATCCCACAACCCCGGAAGACTCACCCGTCGGAGATCTCCTCCTTGGCAGTACTCCATGGCCAGTAGAGGCAAATCATTGGGTGCCAAGTTCTGCATCCCTTCTGGGACATCCCGGGCAGCCACCACATTGGGATGGTTCAGCCTAGAAAGAGGGTAAGCATTCAAGCTTCAGCTTAAATCCACCCCCCTTTGTTCCATATCTCAGCTGCTCTCACCTTCCAACAAAGGCTCAGAATAACCAGTCCCCTTGGTAACTAAACAAGAGAAGTCAGGGGTCTAGGAACAGGACACTTACCCACTACTCTAGTAAGTTAACATGTTTACTCAGCCTTCCCTTCCTCAGCCCTTGAAACTCTAACACCCTACAAGCATATCATGTATCATTTAATTGTCCTTGAAGTGTACCATTAAGTTTTTACTGTACTGCGAGACTGCTTCCAATACGTGATGACAGGGACCTTATGCCACTTAAGGGGGAGGGATGACGCATGCGTGTGGAGCATCCAGTGAAGGAGACAACTGCTCCCTCCGCTTGTTAAGACGTGCGTAGAGGATGGGAGTGATGACTCAGCAGTTAAGATCACTGGGCTCTTCCAGAGGACCTGGGTTTGAGACCCAGCACCCACATGCTGGAGTACAACTGTCCCGGAACTCCAGTCCCCACAGATCCAAGCATACTCAGATGCAGGCAAAACTCAAACACGTAAAAGTTAAGTCATTTTAAAAAGTGAAAGAAGTGAGCGGAGGGAACATCTGCTCGATGACTTCATGCTAACTCTTGCTCATGTATAGGTCTCACCAGCTGGGAGGAGAGTATTCACCCAGAACAGAAAAGATCCTAACCCCACACTGAGTATCCGCAGAGGGCGAACAGCAACAGAGGGTCACATGCCACTCTGGGACTAGAACATAGGAAAACAAGGATTTTTGCTGGAAGATAAGAACTTATGACTGACTGGTTTAATTAAGTAATTTCTGGCAGGGTCTTATGCTGCCTATGCTGGTCTCAAATTCCTGGGCCCAACTATTCCTCCTGTCTCCAACCTCCCGAGTAGCTGGACATATGAGAGCACACCATCATGCCTAGCTACCATGTTATCTAAAGTTCAGTGTAACAGAACTGACCACAAACTCAATGTAGTGTTTAAGTGTTTCCAGAGCCTCACCTTCTCATGATCTGGATCTCTAGGCACCAGCGATCTCTGTTTTTCGGGCTGAGCTCCTGTCGGCACTGCTTGATGGCAATCTGTTCGCCTGTTGCCTACAGGAAGGGCACACTAGTCATCAGGACAATGAAACGAGCAAACACATGAAGAGCTTTGCTGGCCACACAGGTATCCTAAAAGCACCTGGACAGTCTGGCTGCTCTCTTCACCACCCCCACACACAGTGTGCTCTTCTCCGGCTTCCTCCACCATCGGAGGGGACACAAATCCTTCAGATGCCTTGCTCTGTCCCCACTGTCCCCCACAAAACCTCTGCAGCGAATTCCTGTCCAGGGACTTCTCTCTCCACACCCCAACCATTGCCGTATTAAGTTAAACCATAAGGCATTGTTGGTAATTTGGCCAGTTTCACATATAAAAATGCATGCAATTCAGCTTAACATTGGCACAGTGGGAGCCTCCATTGTTTCGTGTAAGAGTTTTTTTCTCTTCAGAGATAAGACAAGTACAGGGTAGTCAATGGGACACAGAACAGCTCAAATTCCACTTTCTTTCACCAGTTATGTAACCTCTGGGTAAACCATGTAGGGACTGTGTGTCTTTATTTAAGAAACAGGACATTGACTTGTCACAGTTCAAGGCTGAAATGAAGAAGATGTAGCAATACCATACAGATAGTGGGTATCTGACAACTCTCCAAGAGGGTAGTCCTAAGCATGATACTTTTCTGAAGCTTGGCTTCATTATTAATTTACATACATTTTTACTTTAGAATGGTCTGATGAACCCAAGGCTGGACTGACAGTCACTATGGCTACAAGGATGACACTGGATCTCTGATCTCCCGATTCCTCCTCCCAAGTGCTAGGATCACAGGTGTGCATGGACCACTGTGCCCAGTTTATATGGTGCTGGGGATCAAATCCAGGGCTTTGTGAACACCGAGCAAGCACTCTACCAACCGAGCCACATTCTCAACCTCACTGTGGTCTCTGTAATGGAAAAATCAATATTTTGTGACTAATGAGCTGGGTGACTGGTTCCTGAGGTTAAAAGATGTCTCTTTGCTGGTACACAAGGGAGTTCAAGAGAGCATGAAGGATGGGAGGTTTCTGAGCTTGTGGTTTTGGCAGCAGCAGTAGCAGCAGAGAAAAGACCTGGTGTGAGGTATCCTAGGGTCAAACGTGGCAGCCTCGAGGAAAGCTGAAGTACAATTGTTATCAGTATCCCTGTTCAGTGACACTAGCCAGTTTGTTAAAAACAGCTAGAAAGAAATCCTTTCCGACAGATTACTAAAAAATGCCTGTAGTGGGGACAGGAAGGTACAAGTTAATCCATGGAAAGAATGTTCCGTTCAACCTGGAAATCCCTCATCTGGGAACTCTCGCCTGACAGTTTCAGAAGGGGCTTCCCGGGTTGATTTCTGTTGGATGATGTAAGCACCTGATGTTGATGCTTTATAAAGTATGTCCTGCCAATTGGACTACTCAGGAATGTTCTCTCTGAATGTTCTCAGCATCCGATTTGATGGCACATCTGCTGTCTACCTGTATGTTATTTCTATTCTTTCACTTTTGCTTGTTATATACAAAACAAAAAACAAAGACAAAAAACCCCACCAAACCCTCACTCATTCAAAACTGATAGTGGGTTATTTTCCATACAAAACAAGACTTCTACTTTCATATATAAAAGGCAAAGGACTGAACCCACTAAAGACCTTCAAGATGAACCGCCGTCAGCAGAGATAACACTGTTAGCCCCCATGAAGGACGTCCTAGAGGCCCCAGAGGCCAGTCTATTCCTCATGTGTACATTTTATGAAAAGGATCCTCTATCTTGTAAGCGTGCAATTCACACAGGAGTGAGTGACATGCAGGGGACTGTGGCAAGACTTCCTAGGGTGCAGGTGGCTGTCATTAGGATCCAACTTGCCTCATATTACCCAAATGGCCAAAACTCCTGCAAGGGCTTAGGACTAGCTGGTAAGACAAGGAAAATGGAAACCTTCAGACACAGTGGGCAGTTATCTAATGTGATCACCGACCAATAAATCAACCCTAAAACTGTGGTTAAGACTGAAAACTTCAGAAATGGGAGTGGTCATTACCACTCTAAATGCCAGAGCACAAATATTACAAAACCTCTAAAATATTCTCAGATCTGTTTTTAATCCCAAACGAGTGCTTCAGTTATCCAAAAAGCAGTCATCTCCATGCCTAGTTTTCTGGTATGTTCTAAGTATACAACCAAAATCACAAGTAATGCTGGAGCAGGGTCCCCACCACAAACCCCATGCCCATTATAGGAGTCATGACCCATCTGCCCTGGAGTCCCTCCTGCCCCTGGGCAACATCAATCTACTTTCTGCCTGTATGGATTTCATGATGTGGACATTTCGTGTAAATAGAGTCATATATGTATAAACAGACCTTCTCACTTAAAAACGTATTTCCAGAGGTCATTCATGTTGTAGCTATGTCTTTGTTAGAATTCTTAGTTTTAGACGGGATTCCAAGGGTCTCTCTGAAGCGCCGACTTCCCTTTTAATATTGTAGCTCCTACTGATGCTGAACCAATCACTGTGGCTACAATCGAACCCAGGGAGAAGTCACCTATGCTCTTCAAGAATGAGAGGCCATATTAGAAAAGCAGCTCTCTAGTCAATGTACGTTCTCAGACAGCACAGCTTGGACAGTGCCATACTTCAAGGTCATGAGTTTCCAGTTTGTCTGCCCCTTCTCAAACTGACTGGAACTTAGTTTTCGGTTTCACTTCCCATTAGTGTTCAGATTCAAATATATTTTGCTGGGCTCTAGGGTAGTTTCATCAACAGCAAATCCCACCGATGCTGTATGCTAGGGCTGGAATGCGGACACTGAATTACGTTTGTATGACGAGGAGGGACTTCTGAGAGTGGATCCGGTGGTAAGGCAGCAGCCATGGTAAGATGTCATCACGTGGGGGCCTCTGGTCCCCCACCAAGTGATGACACAGCGAGAAAACTCAGATACCAGTACCACAATCTCAGCCTTACAAATGACTCAGCCCCACACCCCATCTCTGCTCAGGAAAGCAACCTTAATCAAATCCAATGGACCATACACACCTACAAGACACGGAATCAGGAGGACCTGTCAGTAAGAAGGGGTTCAGTGGGAGCATCGATGAGAGGGAAATGGAGGTGAATATGATCCAAAGATGTCAAGTAATACATTTAAAAATATTTTTAAGCTGGGTGGTGGTGGTGGTGGTGGTGGTGCACACCTTTAATCCCAGCACCTGGGAGGCAGAGGCAGGCGGATCTCTGTGGGTTCAAAGTCAGCCTGATCTACAAATCAAGTTCCAGGGCAGGCTCCAAAGTTACAGAGAAACCCGTCTTGAAAAATCAAAAACGAAATCCCCCACAATCTTACAGCTCTGTATATCAAGTCGACAGTGAGTTTTCCTAAAATCCCCACAATCTTACAGCTCTGTATATCAAGTCTACAGTGAGTTTTCCTAGTCAGTAATCAAGAACACAGCTGTCTTCTCTTCTCCCAGCTCCAGGAGGTTAATCTATGATCTTGCAGCCCATTTTAGGCATACTCTTTGGCTTATGGCCCTTTACCCCATTCTCAAACCCACTAACGGCCAATTGAATCTTGCTCACCCTGGATCAGTCTGACACTGACTCTCCAGCCTCCTTTTCCACTTTTCAGGGCCCTTGTAACGACACTGGGCCCACCCACATAGACTAGGACAATCTGCCAATCTAAGAACCTTGTAGTGACACTGGGCCCACCCACATAGACTAGGACAATCTGCCGATCTAAGGCCAGCTGATTAACAACCTGGATTCTCTCTTACCATGCAATCTCAAAAGATTCAGGAGACTAGGGTTTGGACACCTTTCGGGGAGGAGGGCACACTATACAAACAACATGACAAACGATCAGATCCACTGTGACGTAGTAAGCTTGTCTGGTTACTCATGGAGTGACTGTAATCTCTTGCCCAATGCAAACACTGGAGCTAACACGAAGTTGTCAGTTAGCTCAACCCAAAAACCAAGATAACTCACATAATGAGGACAGATACTGAAGAATAAAGATGTGATGATGGCCTTCAATCTCCAAACTTAAATGAAAACAGTTAACTAACGGAGACCAGAACTGCCTGTGTCAGCTCAGGCTAACCCGAGGGTTACAAGGGAACGAACCCTAACTTCCGAGGCCTAGGAACGTCTGCAATAGAAACAAACTTTCCCTTACACGGTTGTCTATCACTTTTGTTCTGGAACTATGAACACTGGGAATGTGCTCTTCGGCAGGAAAATTCACACAGCCCAGAATCCTTAGGTCAAGACTCCTAGTTCAGAAAGCCAAATCTGGCCTGAATTCTATTTCTATGATGGTTAAATTTGCTAGAGTCATCTGGGAACCTTAACGGGAGAACTGCCCTATCCAACAGTCTGCAGGGAAGCCTGCGGGACATTTTCTTGGTTAATGATTGATGTGGGAGGGCCCAGCCCACTGTGGATGGCGTTGTCCCTGGACGGGAGGTCCTGGGCTTTATAAGAAAGGCCGAGCAAGCTATAGAAAGCAGAGAGTAAGCAGTGTGTCTCCACTGTCTCTGCTTCATTTCCTGCCCCAGGTTCCTGCCTCAGCTTCTCTTCATGAAGGACTTGCAAGCCAAATAAACCCTTTCCTCCCCAAGTTAGTTTTGGTCATAGTGGCTATCACAGCCAACAGAAACCAAACCAGGAATACCTCCAACTTGCTAGTACGTAGAATACAACTTAAAAATGGTCTATATTCTCAATAAAAGGGAAAGGGCCAATTGTATTATCTATATTGAACACAGCTGAATTTTTGAGTTTGCTGCTCTTTGACCTTTACACAGGAACAGAAACCTTGTATAAGTCTGATTACAAAGCCTAAAGAAGGTAGTCAGTAAGAAGAGGCGTGTTCAGAATACTGGCAGCACGAAGGGTGCTAGAAGGCTGGTCTTTAGAAAACAGAAGGGTCACCCTACTCCCTGCAGTTAGCCTCCTAATGATCCAGGGGAAGCGCACAGAATGCTCAGAACGCCCCTTAGAACTTCATTGCGACCATCCAAGCAGCAACCGTGTGATAGGCAGACAGTCAGCAAGCCATCAAGTTCTTTCTCAGACCCTGCCCTACAAGATCAATGCTGGGGGTGGGGTGTGATGCTGGGCCCAGAAAGAGTGTGTGGATGGGATCTAGGCTGGGGAGTCAAAAGGTACAGAGGCACTAGCTACTACGTTGTCCTGGAGACTCAGGGCGGTGCACTATTCGACTCTCAGGGAAGTTTCTATATGCAGTCCCCAGATGGTCAAAGTGAAGAGACTGGAATGCTCAGCCCTAAATGAGATGTCTATATCACACCCCTCTCCTCCCTAAACTTGGGGATCATCCTGGAAAGACTAAGAGCCAGCGGCTGTGGGCTACGACAACAGAACGGTGTTTTCTGATCCAGGAAGGGCAGTTTCATACATGAACTCACAGTAGTATGACAGCATGCACAGGCTCACACCAGGGAAAATCCAAGCATTGAGAGGGAGGGAGGCAGGAAGTCCCGCCCCTTGCTAGGCAGCTACTGGCAGTTTATAGATGCTGGGAGAGAGGGAATCGGTCCTCTTTAAGGGTGTGTTCTGTGGTAGGGTCAATCACACCTCAGTAGGAGGCAGCACAAATTAGACTGGAGGTTTAGTTAAAAGGATGTAAAGTGGGAGAGTGGAGAGGGAGGAGTTGAATATGATCAAAATACATTGTACAAAATCGTCAAATAAGAACCTAAAAAGTAAAGCCCTGGAACACAATCTACACCTACACATCTCCACACAACTCCTGTACCTGAGGCTCAGGGGTCATTTCAGAAGAGGTGAAAGATTGGAAGAGGCAGAGGAGCAAGGACGTTTGCTATGAGATTATGTCTCCCTCCAATGTCACAAGTTACACCAATGAAGTTCTACAAGCAAGACTGCCTAAACATGAGCTGATCAAGAGCCAAAACAATAGACGTGCTAACGGAGACAGGAGAAAGCCTAGGAGGCCTCAAGCCTATACAACTAACCACAGGCAACTAAGGAAGGCTCAGTAGGAGAAATAGTCTTCCCCAGGGAAGAGCACACTAACTGATTATCCACTACCAAATGAACAGCCCTGGAAACATAAATATTATACAGACTGAGAAGGTTGTATTTATGAACATATGTATACCAACATGCATATAGGAACAATAATTAATAAGGAGGCCATGAATTTGAAATAACAAGAGGGGAGGAAAGGAAAGGGAAAGGAGGAAATGATGTAATTATAATCTCCAAAAAATAAAATTTATTTTAAAAAAAGGTCTAGATGCTTCTTTATCCCCGACCCGACATTACTAGTGGTGCAGACAACCTTTCCCTACAATAAAGACTGCAAATTCTTCAGTCTCCCTGCAATGCAGACATGAAACACCACAGTGGCTTCCAATCGCTCCCACAGACTCAAGGGACAAAAGTGTTGTTGCCTCCTTGAGCAACTAAATACGCATCGCTGAATTCATTAGATCTCTGGCTTTTTTTTTATCCACAAATGGAGAAAAACTTGACCCTTCCAGTGATGCCAAATAAAATGAAACGCGGGGTCCAACCCACAGGAAGCCTTGGGCAGAGTCTGAAACTCATTTCCTTAGATGATGCTCTACCCATGCAACTGTCCCTTTTCCCGACAGGCCACCTAAAGTCCACTTCCTCTCAAGAGCCTGAGGGAAGTTCCATTTCCTCAAAGTCTTCCCTTGCTACTGAGCAAGCAAGAGAAGAATATGGACAGAGCAATTGGCACAGCTAACGCTACTTGTTTTATTTTTATTTTTGTTGTGAGACAGCATCTCACTATGTAGCTCTCTGGCTGTCCTGAACTCACCATGTAAGTCAGGCTGGCCTCAAACTCACAAAGATCCACAGCCTCTGCCTGTTGTGTTGTGATGGAGTTAAAGGTGTGCGCCACGACGTCTGGTGGACACTTTTTTTTGTTTTTTGAGACAGGATTTCTCTGTGTAGCTTTGTAAACCAGGCTGGCCTTGAACTCCACCACCATCCATCTATATGAATTCTTGATAAGCAGTCATTTTCACACGTGAACACTTAAATCTAGACCTAGTCATATTTTTAAGAATTCACCCAATGTAAGTAAAGACTAAGGACTGTGTCTTCTCTTTATTTGGCTGCACAGTAGGTCCTTATGGAGCCAAGTTCCAAGACCACACATTAAAACACACAGGCAAACAGAAGTGATCCTAGCCTTGTCAGTAAAGGTTAGCACTGCTTTGTAGGAGAACAACTGATTAACACCTTGCCTTCTAACAGCCAGCATGGTCACTACATCATCCTCACATGGGTCCCCCAGACTTGCTATATATATATATATATATACTCCCCCCAACTTAGAACATATGGAGAGTGCAGGATTTGCAAAGAACCTGGAGACATTTCATTTCCACAGGGCATCTGCCTCATGTCTTTCCAGAAAGGATGAGAATCCATAATGCACACCAGAGGCTGCCACCCAAATCCAAGAATGTGGCAGGCGACAGTCAGAATCCCAACCAAGTTGTGTGACTGAGAATGTGACTCCTTCCTCCACCTGCCCTCAAAAGGAGCTGCAGGCTGAGGTCCCTCAAGTTGGATCTTTTTCCTCTGTCTATATATCTCAAGGTCTACTGAAAACATTCGCTTACCTGAACCACAAACAGTTTGTGCTGGGCCCTACTCTTTTTCACTGGGGAATACAGATTTGGGTATCCCTTCGTTTCTCCTTAGTGCCTCAAAACGGCTTGGGTTGATTGTAAAGAACCAATTGGGACCTCCAAATAACTGGGAATGTGTTAGGCGTGTCCTAAACTCCAGTTCCATCCCGGAGACGCCACTGTGGAGTATATCATCTGGATCCAAACAGATGTACATGTTGACAGTCTATCCTCCTTGTGAACATTACCTAACTCCCTGATGCCTCAGTTGCACATCATATCTGGAGTCGTCGACCCCAGAAGTAAAGCATGTGAGATAAAGGCGGTACACGGCTCAGAGCAATGCAAAAGAAAACCCGCAGGAGACACCTAGCCCGATGCTGGCATGCAGCGGGTTAGCAGCAATGACCCTGGTTCTTAGGCAGCACTTCTGTTATAACTACATACATTCTCTTGCTTGTAGACAGGAGAAAACACAGGGAGTAGCGAGAAGACGCAATGCCAAGTATACTACCACATCTAGCTTTCTTCAAGAGGCTTGGAATAGAGGTACATCCACCGGAAAACACGCTGTACCTTCTGATCTCAGACACGGATTGAAGATGGTTTCTGCGCATCCAAAGCAGCCCCCTGGCTTTCCCCGAGGATCGGCCCATGAAGACGGCAGAGGACTTCAGACTTAGCAGGCAGGTTCTTCAGCCAGCACCACATCAGTCGGACTCCTCTCCAGCCCCGACCCCAATACCCTCTTATCCTACCCGAGTCCTGCTCATTTTACCCCTAAATAACTCTTACATCTGCCACTTCTTCCTATCACCAGCGTCAGTCAGGCTAGTCTCTCACCTGGACTACTCAAGACCTGAATTACAGCTGTTTAGGAAAGACCGAGTGCCCAGAAGGGTGGTTTCTCATTCTGGTTATGTTTCTCAAGTGAAGCCCAATACTGGAATCCAAAACAAAATAGAATAAAACAAAATGCACCTCCCAGGTCTCTCAGAAGGTCCTGTAAATGGCCAGGCAGAAATGATGATATAAATGAAAGAGACACTTTCAAACACTGCACCCCAAAGATGGGGATTCCCCAGGAATTTCATGTTGGGACAGGAGAAGCCACCACACAGAAGGGGAATTTGTCTTCTGGAGAAATTAACAAATTCTCAGAAAATCTTACAGGGTGACAAAAATGGGTCAGTGGTAGGCTGGACCATGGACTGCTTTGATGCACATACCCACGGCTTTCTATTTAAACCTTAATCTCGTTTAGGATCCTGAAGACGGACTTGGGAGGTTTGCTGGGTCTCTGTTCCTCCTCTCAATGTGACCACATTGATCCAATCTCCTGCTCTCCGCTATTAAACTGACTCTAAGTTGGCTTATTGAGGATGGGTAGCAGCGCCTGGCTTAGGGCACAGGCTGTGACACCCCCCCCCAAGTTAGACAGTTGCACATCATATCTGGTACTCAGGAACCCTGAGGAAAGTGATCTACAGAAGTATGGACGGATGGAGCTACAGAAACACCACAGGTGACACGCACTTTTTAGTCATCACCAAGAACTAATTGTCCAAATTGCATAAAATAACTCTCACACAGTAGACGGGTGACTTAAACGGAGTCCCACAAAGAATTCAGTGTTCTCAAACCACCAGCCCAAACCAAAACATGAGACTATGGTCAGATCCAAAAAGATCCATCCAAATCACTCAGCATTCTATCTACGCCCATTATCCTTAACTCTTTGCGTTTTGTGCAATACGGCATCACAAAAGGCCACGGAATTATCAATTATTTTAAAATTTAAAAGTTACTTAAGATATTTTTATTGCCCTCATCTTTTAACACTGTCTGTATTCTACGACATTCACCGATATGCAATACATTACATGTTAGCCTAACATTAGTCTAACACTTAGAATGACAGCCCCTTTTTCTTATTTAAGGGGCATGGTCAATAAGGTTTTTAAGAGTCAGTTTAGCAGCTCTCACGCCCCCCTTTGCAGCCCCCTTTCTTAAACTCTCCCATTAGACCATGCCAAGACCAGGAGGGAGTCCTCCAATTCGCACCGGCCCCGGGATTAGCAGCACCAAGAAGCCCACCTACTCTCCCGGGGCCCAGAGCCCTACCTGATTGTGCCATCGGATGACATTTCCAAATCCCCCGGTCCCGAGTCGTTCTTTCATTTCCCAGGCCCCACATGTCTGGGTTGGGAGGGACGGTGACCAGCTCATATCGATGCCCTGCTGACTCTGGAAGCAAGAGGAAGAAAGACAGGTTCAGAGTAACGAAAAGAATGGAGCTCGAGAAGCAGGGGGAGGCAGCAGCGGCTGCTGCCCTTCAAGGTGAGAGAAGCAGACTCAGGTTTAGTTAATAAAAAGTTGCTGCGGCCCGGCCCGTTGACGGTCCCGGTCCCCGCTGCTCGCAGCCGCAGCGCCCGGGCAGAGGCGGGGCACGCGTCCACCGGAGCCTTCCACGCGCCGCGAGCGGCCCTCGCGCGGGACTCACCTGCCCCAGGGGCCGCGGGGCCGCCAGCGACACCCACAGAGGGCATGAAAACTTAGGGTCCCCACGCAGCCAGCCCAGAGCCACTTCCTCAAACACTTCCTGCCCTGACGTCACGGGAATTTGGCGGCTCTTAAAGGAGACGTGCGAGCTGCTCGCTGAGACGGAGCAACAGCCTGCAGGTGGGTAGTGGACTTGGTGGAGGCAGCGTGGAGACTGCTTTACCCGGGTGCTTTTCGAGCTGAGTTTCATCCGACAAGCTTGGCGGTTAACAAAGGTCGGGAGAATTAGTATTACAGTACTAGTCGCTACTAGTACTGTAATAAGAATTGCCTTCCTGTCCTCCCACCGCCGTTCATGGAATCTGAATGCTCCTGGTGCTTGCAAAGAATGATAAACGACCCTGGTGCTCCTCAGAAAATAACAGCACCATCCCAACCCCCCCCCAAAAAAGAGGGGGAAAAGTACAAAAACAAAGCAAAACAACTAAAAACTGGTAGTGTCTACTAAGTGTCTACTATTGCAGTATTAGGTCAAGAACCTGGACACAGCCTCCTGCCCCACCCCCAACAGGTCAGGTTCAGCCACTCACCCTCCAGGGCCTAATTTCATGACACAACTAACACTGAAAAGCAGAAAAAAGAGGTTTATTCGATGTGACTACACAGGGAAATGAAAGAGGCCCAGTCACTCCCACCCGTATCTCTGCCCACCCAGGGCCAATACTGGAGTCCTAACATGAGGATTGGGTTTTAAGTGGAAGGCTAGAGGCATGTACAACTAAGCAGTCCCGCTCAAGGTGCATTCTGGTCTTCCCTCGTTGTCTAGACTTCAGTCTCTCCTGTATGGTGACATTTGTCAGAACTGCCTGAAAACTCTTTGCCTGAGACAAGCTTCTCTGATGTCTGGCATGAGACTTCTGACTTACTGGCCCTTTAGACTGGCCAGCCACCAGCAAGATTAATGCTCAGTGGATTGAAGGATATGCCAAAGGTCTTCGTTGGACAACCAAGGGACTCTTAGCATTTGAACTCAAGAGTAGTGCAAATAAAGCATTTCTCACTCCTTTATTATTAAAGCAAGCAAGACAGTGAGCTTAAGCAAATACAAGGGCAGAGATCCACAACCAAGCATCAGGTCCAGCTTCCAGAATCCAAAGAGAAGGAGGGAATGCATGAGCAAGGAGGCCAAGATCATGATGGAGAAATCTAGAGACAGCTGAGTCAAGCTCGTGGAAACTAATGAGCTCTAGACCGACAGCTGTGGAGACTCCGTGGACCCAAATTAGGCCCCCTGTTTGTGGGAGACAGTCGTGAAGCTTGGACTAGCTGGGAGGCCCCTGGCAGTAGGACCACGATACAAGCCTGGTACATGAGCTGGCTGGCTTGGAGCCCATTCCCTATAGTGGGATGCCGTGCTCAGCCTTAATGCATGGGAGAGGGGCTTGGTCCTGTCCCAACTTAATGTGCCAGACTTTGTTGACTCCTCATGGGAGCCCTTAATAGGATGGAAGAGTAGGAGGGAGGGCTAGAGGGGAGGGAAGGGAGGGCTACAGGGGGAGGGTGGGAGAGAGAACTGAGGTGGGAATGTAAAATGAAACTTTTAAAAAAGAATTATTTAAAAAAGGAAAAAAACAAGTACAACAAGGAATACATTTGGTATTCTTTTATCTTTGCTCATATGAAAAGAGCCAAGAATGTTCCACCCAGGCCTTCGCCTTTCCCAACAAAGATAATGTGGTATCCCAGGGCATTCCCTTCATGTCTGTGCTTTCAAGTACTGTTGTTTTCTACTTAATTGTTGCTGCCTTTGCAGCTATGACTATCCTATTCAGCAACGTCCACTCTGCTGCTACTAAGGAAACTTACTTAAATATCTGTCCCACTAAAGATTCAAAGACTGACGTAGAAGCCCGTATCCCAGAGAGACTGAACAGGAAGCAACTCACCTAGCTTGCCTCTTCACATCTCCCAAGAAGTTCTCATGCTGTCTCTCACCCCTCCTTATAAACCCTTCTCCACCTGGTTCCTCCCTACAACTTCCTGTCAGCTAGTTGCTGACCCAGCCTCTGAACTGCAGGTGGATTTCATTTAATCAAACACATCTTTGCATCATTAAACAAATGTTCCAGAGAATAAACAAAAGCAACATACCTTAGAATAGTATTCTGCAACACAGTGCTTCCATAGTTGATGCATTTCTTTCTCGAAGGCCACCTTGTGGGAAGAACCTTCTAATCTCTGCCCCATCCATACTTTACAGTAAGGTCACAGTTTTCTTACACAGACTCCCACAGGGCCTCAGCACAACATTCCTGGGGCAATTCTGATTCGTTGGGGGTCTGTTATTTCTATAGTTGTGGAGCCAAAAAGAGGGGTTCAAATGTCTTATTAGAATATCTGCATTCCTGCCAGGACAATTGCATTTCCCTCTCAGTTTCTTTTCACTTCAATCTTGAGATAAAAGACTCATAGGTAAAAGGGTAGATGGGATAAGTTAAAAGCTGGCTAGAAACAAGCCAAGTTAAAGCCAGGCATTTATAAGTAAGAATAAGTCTCCATGTGATTATTTGGGAACTGGGTGTCAGACCCCTCCCAAAGAGCAGAGTAAAGAGTTAAAACACACACACACACACACACACACACACACACACACACACACACACACACACACGACAAATGATAGCCTTGGATGGGGCTGCAGATTTTGTCATTTCCTAAGGCATTTATTAACTTAAGCCCTGTTCATTTCCCCCACAGAAAAGGCCATGACCAGATCACTGCCTTCGGCTAATCTCTGCCTCTGCAGATGTGAGCAACCCGTTTACAGGTCATTGTTCAATTTGTAGGCTTCAAGACTGAATGCAATGAAGAACCATTGAACAGCCAGGCAGAGCTGTAGGCATCCTTGATTTCAGGGAATCAAAGGAGCCTAGCTTGGTTCAGGGGTGCTTAGACTCTGCTGGGGGGGGCATGTCAATAACATCCAGAGAGGGTTACTGAGTGAGGACAACAAGGTTGTAGGCAATGTAGATTCAGGCTCTGGTTGTGTGACTGAGGTAGGGACTGCAGTGGTGATGGGAGTAGTTTCCTTACGCTGTTGACTTTAATATAAAAATTGTGTTCTCAGAGAAAGTCACAGGAAACTATTCTTGGTTGTTTTTTGCCACCAGCAAATTAAACGCTGTTCACTCAACTGACAACAGTAGACGAAGCAACCCTAAACTCCTCTGAGTGAGAAAAACACAGGTTCTGCACCTTCAGGAGAAGCCGGTCTCGAAGACCGGGAAACAACAAAACAGAGCTCTTAGGATGGGGAGCAGCACAGGCTCAGGGATTCAGCTACTCCTTCTGAATCTGTCAATATTTGTTTAAGCCTTCAGTGAGAGGGCCATGTGAGCTGCGTCTTGGCCTTGCCCTGTCAACAAAAAGCCATCTGCCAGACAAGAGGTTGCGGGGAGGACACACACACTCATTTAGTTGAGCGCATGAAGAAATCTCTTTCCTTGGTAAAAGGGAGTGAACTGATGGAAAGAATGAATGAGCCTTGGCCAGACCGTTGTGACCCAGCAGCCAGCAGTCTACAGAACGGGCAGCGGGGGTGGGGATTGGCCAGGTTCTATGAGTATACTTGAGAAATGGCTAAACTCCCAGGGAGTCAGACCACACAGGCCACATGCTTTCAGGGGAAGCACTGAAAGCCTGAAGCCCCAAGTGAGCTCCCCCCTCGGGAGCAATGGTGTCTTAGGAGAGCAGATCAATCATTCAGGAAGCACTCTTGACTGTACCCACTTAGGCTTCAAATGAAAGAGGTCACATAAGACCTGTGCGAGGTGTGGTGGTAGGGACACTGGATATGAAGGACGCATCCCTGGCTGCTAATCATTCATGGCTCACCCCCAAGAGCCTGTTTTTACCCTGTAGGACCCAAGACCTTGCTTACTGAGACATCCTTACTCCTTGGTACACCACTGACGCTCAATAAAAGCTTAACTGGCAGACTGGGGGTGGCTTAGCAGTTAAGAGCACTGACTTCTCTTCCAGACGACCTGGGTTAAGTTCCCAGTGTTAACCGCACCGGAAGAGAGTAAGATCACTGCAACATTTTTTGAGTAAAAATTGACGCTTATAAAGGCAAGACCCATAAGGCTATGTACCTCCCACCTTTTTGCAACCAGGGACAAGCAAAAGTCCTGCCATACGTCCTGTTACATGTGATCAAGTACATACCCTGCAGCTGGAGCAACCAAGGGTGGCTAGTTGTTTTACAGGAAGTTACCTTTCCTTGGGCAAGTGGGGCTTACAGGTTAGAGGCATTTTGTTTTATGGATCTCTTAAGCACAGTAATTTAAACTTAAAACACAACTTTAGCCGGGCGTTGGTGGTGCATGCCTTTAATCCCAGTACCCAGGAGGCAGAGGCAGGCGGATCTCTGTGAGTTTGAGGCCAGCATGTCTACAGAGTGAGTTCAGAACAGCTTCCAAAGCCATACAGAGAAACCCTGTCTCAAAAAACAAAAACCAAAACAAAACACTACTTTAGCCCTCACACCAGCCTGCACAGGGTGCTCACAATCAATTATAACTCCAGCAGCCGTAGGGGATCTAGTGCTCTCTTGTGGCTTCTTTAGGGGACTCATATCATACAGATATACATGCAGGTCGAACACCTACACACATAAAAATTAGACAAAAACAAAGCATTTTCATGGTTGGGTCTGTATTTTGGTGGTTATAGTCTTTTCTAGAAAGTTCCAGGCTCTGGGTTCTACAGCACTACCAAAAAAAATGCACACAACATCGATTTATTGATGAATCCTTTTTGAAATTCGAAGCCATCAAGGTCTTACCCTTCCATCCAGGGTCTTGGTGTCAGAGAAGATGGCTTCTGTGGCGCTGAGGTAGGTGGGATGACTTGCATTTGCCCTTGACTCTAACTACCCACTTCTGCAATCTCTTTTAGTGTTCTCGTCTTTGGTTTCCCTTATTGTAAATACTTTTTAAAAAATATTTTTATACAGTATATTCAGACTACAGTTTCCTCTCTCTCTACTCCTCCCAATCCCATCCCCCATCTCCCCTCCCATCCAGATCCATATCCTTCTGTCTCTCCTTAGAAATAAGCAGGCATC